TTTATTTTTGAATACATTTTATTTAGAGACAGGGTCTTGCGGAGTTGCTTAGGGCTTCACTGAGTTGCTGAGGCTGGATTTGAAATACACAATCCTCCCGCCTCAGCCTCCTAAGCCATGGGATTATAGGTGTGTGCTACCATACCTGGCTCTAGATTCCAGTTTTCTACTGAAATTTGTCATCTCATCATTTTTCTGAACATGTAAATTGAATGTTTTAAAGTCATTGTCTAATAATGCCATTATCTGGATTGCATGTAGTTTTGTTTCAATTTATTCATTTTTGTTGTGTTTTGTCTTTCTTACATCTTATGAGTTTTTTTAAAAAAAAATTTTTTAGTTGTAGATAGATACAATACCTTTATTTTATTTTATTTGTTTTTATTTTTATGTGGGGCCAGGGATTGAACCTCTACCACTGAGCCACAACACACACCCCCATGACTTTTAACAAGTTGGAATGCTTGCCAAGTTTTTACTAATATTTATCTTAGGTTTCAACACTTTTACTATGAATTGACTAGGTATGGCTGTCTTGTATTATCCTGGGAATTTGGTAGTATTATTAAATCTCTAGACAGGTGTATTTCGTCAGTTTGGGAAATTTTGGAGCCATAATTTTTCAAATATGGTTTCTATACCATTCTTTCTCTCTGTCTGTGCCTTACGGATAGGACAATATTTTAAAATTTAATTAAATCTTTCTCCTAAGAGGATTCTATGTAACATTGTTAGGCAGTGTGGGGGAGGGAAAACTTTTCCTCTACCCTCCCAGTTTCAGCAACTCAGGGTGCTGCTGATTGCTGACAGAAGACAAATTAACAAAGAAAAAGCAAATTTAATTTCATGCATACACATGGAAATTCTGAAAGAAATATGACTCAAGGAGGTGGTTAGAATTTGCATTTTACATACCATCTTAATAAAGGGGTAAAGGGGGCTGGGGATATAGATCAGTTGGTAGAGTGCTTCCCTTGCATGCATAAGGCCCTGGGTTCAGTCCCCAGCACCACAAAAACAAACAAATAATAAATAAAGGGGATAAAGTGTGGGAAGAAGGGTTTGGGGGTAATTGGGGAAAACAGGTTATGGAAAGGTAACTTAAGAAATATGTGGTAAATAAGGGTTGTTTAGTGAGTTTTTTTTTTTCAAGTCAACTTAGATGATAAGAGTTGCCTTTTCCTTCCTGGTAAAGGAAAAGGTATTTACAAAAGAGAAATATGTGCTCTGTCTTTAGTGCTTTTATAGTGTCTCCTTAATTGCCTTCAGCTCAAAATGATCCTTTTTGTCAAAGTGACATATTTGGGGGTGGCATATTGTGGCCCCCTTCAGCAAATAGAACTAGGCTGATCACCTTAGACCAATCAGCAATTGATAGGATTCTAGTTTGTTATGGCAGAACTCAGTCTTCCCTTCTGGTTTATCCTTACCCTTAGATATAACTGTCTAAGGGTTCCCATTTGAGAGCCTGAAATTCCTGCCCTCTATGGGATTGTGAGATCTAATTTTATTCCTTATCTTGCTAAGTCTGCCACATCACTACTTTATTCTTGGAGGCTTTCTGCTCTTCTCAGACTTTTATCCCACAGGGTTTCAGAGTTTTACAGATATCTTGAGAGGGAAACTGAAAAAATGTTGGGCTCAGCTCTCCATACTTCTGTTCTTACTAGAACTCTGGCCTCTGAGATAGCTAAAATCGCAGCAGGTGTTCTCTGTAATAATAGCAGCTCTGTACATTCTTCATTGGGATCTTTAATCTTCTAATTTTTAATTTGGGATCTTTAATTCCCTCATATCCCTCCCAAAATAGTTCAATGCCAAGGGAGAAGCTGCAGCAAAATGTTGGCTCACTTCCCTATGGACTTTCCTTTCTCCATGATTCTATTCCCTGGAGTCCTTGTTTCAGCAGCTCTCTAAGGATTTCTTTTCCTTTCCCTCCCTCTCTCTTCCTCTAGGTCTTTCCTTCCTTCCTTCCTTCCTTCCTTCCCTCCCTCCCTCCCTCCCTCCCTCCCTCCCTCCTTCCTTCCTTCCTTCCTTCCTTCCTTCCTTCCTTCCTTCCTTCGCTATTCCTGGAAGAATTATTGGTTAGCCTCAGGATACTCCATCCTGACTAGGAGCAGAAAGTATTTGCATTGCTTTTCTGGAATAGCTCTATTAGTAATTCTTATATATAACCCTTGTTAAAAATAACTTGCCCTAGATAATAGTGAAATATTTTATAGCAGTGTTACCTTTTGAATCAGAATTACCATACAGTTAACCCAGTCTTCAATTTTAAATAGTCTGACCAATTATAATTCAAGTGATTAGTATCATGGTTGTTCCAGTTTATTTTCTTAAATGTGCCCCCAGTCAGCATTATCCCTGTAACATTCTATAGCATTTAATTTGCCAAAGTGTGTGCATAGGCCATTGTTATTGTTCAGTGAAGCTTTTCAGTCTTAAGGGAGAATTTGGCCCATTTTGAATATGCTGTTAAATGTGTGATGTGCCTTATAATGTAAAATTGTATATGAATTACAAAAAAAAAAAAAAAGAAGAAGAAAAACTGTAAAGTAAGTAGTGCTAATGCCTTTTAAAGCAAAGTGGACTGTGCATAAAAACTAGTGATTTTTGCCAGGCACATGCCTGTAATCCCAGTGGCTCCGGAGACTGAGACAGCAGGATCAGGAGTTCCAAGCCAGCCTCAGCAAAAGGTTGAGGCACTAAACAACTCAATGAGACTCTGTCTCTAAATAAAATACAAAATTGGGCTGCTGATGAGGCTCAGTAGTTGAGTGCCCCTGAATTCGATCCTTGGTACCCAAATAAAAAACAAAACTAGTGATTTTTTTTTTTTAACGATATGTGATAAGAAGTACTAGGACTCTATAGTAATGTTAGATATGTTAGATATTTAGTGCTAAAAATTACCTTGAAACCTTGAAAGGCTAGCAGCAATCTGGGTATAAAGTGATGAAGCCATGCACATAAGGTTGTTTTTTTTTTTTTTTTTTTAATCCTTACTTCTGTTTTTAACTTTGGAAGATATATTTCATTAGTTATCTTTTCAGGAGTAGAAATGCCAGGATAACTCCCATTTTAATGGGACATTACTAATGGGCCACCCTGTTAATGTTTTTATTTGTCACCTGGTAAAGACAATTAGAATCTAATCTAAAACTATAGTAGTTGAACCATCTCTTTTAACATTTGTTTGAAATAAAAAATGCTAGTAAGGACCCTGATTGTGAGATTTAGATTCTAACAATGTTGAGTTGCCCCTTCACCAAACTTGTTTTATGACCTGCTCTAAGTCTTCTAAGATAGTTCTACAGAATTTTCCCATAACTCAGTAGAATTGAATCACACTTATTTAACTTCCTCAAAAATCAATTAATACAACAAATAAAAAGGAAAATCCTCTTGCTTAACCTATTAACACTCTTTGCCCTTCATACTTGACTTTTATTCTTCACTGGAAAATACTCTGTTATTCTGATTATTTTAATTTTCCTTAGTTAAGTCTGTCTAATTTTACTTTGAATATCACCATTTTTACTGTAATAAAAAAGATCATGATCAGAATGGTAAACATCAGTGTTTAAGTTACGTTGTGTTATAGTAAGGGTAAGGTCCATATTGTAAGTTGGGCATATAGATTATTAAGCCTCTTTCTGGAGACAGTTTGGTGATAATGTCAAAATGTATACTAATTTAGTAATTCTACTTTAGGAAATTATTCTATACATATTCTTTTAACTGTACACAGTGGATATTTAGTGCAACATCTTTTGTAATAGCATAGATCTGGAAACAGTAAGAGCCTGGCTCAATAAAATAAGATATAAAACATACCTGATGATAATTAAAAAGAATGAGGGAGCCAGGCACAATGGTACATGCCTATGATCCCAGCAACTTGGGAAACTGAAGCAGGAAGATTGCAAGTTCAAGTTCAGGCTGGGCAACTTAAAGATACCTGCCTTAAAATAAAAAGGACTAGAAATGATCTCAGTGGTAAAATATCCCTGGGTTCATTCCATAGTTCCCCAGGGAAAAAAAAAGATAAGAATGAGGGAAATTTATATGAAATGATATGGGACAGTCTCTAAAATACATTATATAGGGCTGGGGATATAGCTCAGTTGGTAGAGTACTTGCTTAGCATGTACAAGGACCTGGGTTCAGTCCCTACCACCATAAAAATTCATTCATTCATTCATTAAGATATGATGAATAGAAGAGAATAGAATAATATTTATGATATGCTATTCTTGGGCGGGGAGAGAGAGATAATTAGACATCCATATTTATATACCTAATGTATACTTTATGTTATGAATTATATATGTAACATTATATATATAACATTATATATATATATATATATATATATATATATATATATATAAACATACCTTCTCTAGAAGAATTCAAGAAACTGCTAACAGTATCTGCATTTGGATGGGAGATCTCAGGACCTAGGAAAATTACTTTTTAACCTGCTATATTTGATGTCATTTACACATAATCCCTTATTCAAAAGTATGTTATGTGTGAGTGTGTGTATATATATGTATTTGTATATACATTTTTATAGAAATGAAAACAAAAATATATTTCAACTAGGGAGATTGAGGCAATATAGTTTCATACTGAGTTCTAAAAAATCTGTGCCATAAACCTCTGGATCCTAGAATAATTATACCATACCATTATAGGTGTCTAAATGTCTCAGTTAAGGAAAGTTTGCAGCCTGGTTCAGATCCCCCACCCTGAATTATCTTTGAATAATGAGCCTTGGATCTGTCTTCTAACATTCTGGCATCTGATATATTTGTTGCTCCATACACGTGGCAATTGGAGTAAGTAATTGTTATTTAGAAATATCCAGTAATGCATTTATGATGTTTTATAGTTGTGTTGAAAAAAAGTTTAAATTGCACAATGTCACTGACATTTTTAGCTTCCTAGTAAATAGCTTTTGATTATCTGCACTCTGATATACTTTGTTTTAGGCTCGAATGCTCATCACAGAAGAAAATCTGATGACCATTATTATTAAAACTTTCATGGATCATTTGAGACATCGAGATGCCCAGGGCAGATTTCAGTTTGAACGATACACTGCTTTACAAGCCTTCAAATTTAGGAGAGTTCAGAGCCTTATTTTAGATCTCAAGTAAGTTTTTTTTTTAATTGTCAAACCAGTTAACAACTTGTAAAATGTTAATGTTTGCATGTTCAATGCTACTGTTATCTTGTTCAGGTATGTGTTAATTAGCAAACCAACTGAATGGTCAGATGAGCTGAGGCAGAAGTTTCTAGAAGGGTTTGATGCCTTTTTGGAATTACTGAAATGCATGCAGGTATGTATAAATTGCCACTTTTTTCTATTTTTTAATCTTAATTTTTTTGTTTTTGTTATTGTTCATTGAACTGAACACCTTTCTCTCTGTGGTTTTTGTTTGTTCGTTTATTTGTGGCTTTTTAATGTTGTTTTCATTTTGAGCATATTTCCAAAAGATCAATTTGAATGGCTACAATTTGGATCAAGAAAGTCCTCTCTAATTGGAGACTCTTAGAGGTGTAGAGTGAATAAGAGTCCAGCAAAAGCTCTGGCATCTAGTGCTTTTTTTGTATTTAGTATTCTTTTGATTAACATTAGTATATATTTATCAGTTCAGTAACATTTAAAAACCTGTCAGGGAACAACAGATGTAGCTCAGTGGTAGAACATGTGCATGTTTGAGGCCCTGGATTCTATGACTGGCACCACCAAAAATATAAAATGAAAAAAAGCTTTTTTTTTTTTTTTAACATAGATGATAGAGTTAAAAAGGAATTTGAAAGATTATTACAGTGAAGTAATGAAGTATTTTGTTATCTGAAGCAGATTTAGAGATTACCCCTAAAATGGTTCATTCTATATTTTACTAGAATTTTTCCTTGTATTTTAGAGAATGTTACATAAAATCTATAATTTAAAAAGCTATCACTTCTCATATTACTGGAAGCTTCCCATTAAGACTTTGACTTTGTATGATTTTATAATCAATATGTTTCTTCTGCATTATTCCTTAGGTTTTCTTATAAGAGAAAAGGTATAGTTTTTTATTCATATAAAATTCTTTTACTTTCTTTAAGGGAATGGATCCAATCACCCGTCAAGTAGGACAACATATTGAAATGGAACCAGAATGGGAAGCAGCCTTTACACTACAAATGAAACTAACACATGTCATTTCAATGATGCAAGACTGGTGTGCTTTAGATGTGAGTTTCTTCTAGGGGTGAGAGATAAGAGCAAAATGAAAGAGTGGAAATAGACAGAATCCTAAGTAAAATTTGAAAAGATTTGAAGAAAGTAGTTTTATAGCTTATCTCAAAACAGCATGCATTCCCTTTCTACCTATAAATCCAGTAAAGAATGTTAAACTTTTAAAGCCTTAAGAAAAACCTTGGTAAATAGAGAAGGAAATAATCTACTCTCTCTCTTCCCTAATATAACTGTATCTTCCTTTTTTTCATAATCCTTTCTATACTTTGAGCATATAAAATAGTAATTTATAAATTTATCCAAAAATAAAAGTTTTACTGTTGGTTTATTCATCCTATGTTTTAAAATTCTTTAGCCTTCTTTGGCAATAAAGTACAAATAAGAACTTTTGTAAATTAGGGAATCAGGAGCATATGAATATATGTAAGGAGATCTGAACTTTGTAAATTTTGCTGAAGAAAGAATAAAAAGGGGCTGGAATTGTGGCTCAGCGGTAGAGTGCTCGCCTGGCACGTGCAGGGCACTAGGTTCGATTCTTAGCACCACATAAAAATAAATAAATAAAATAAAGATATTGTATCCAACCACAGCTAAAAAAAATATTAAAAAGAATAAAGAATATTCCTCTATGTTAGGAATATTCCTCCGAATTAGGAATATTCTTTGTTCTTTTTTATAATATTCTGTGGCGAGGAGAACTGTGGTTGTTCCTGGAGCTTTGAGAAAGCACTGTGATTGAAGCAGAGAGATTGAGGGCAGAGAGGCAGGGAGGAATATCTAACTTTGCAGGACTTTGAAGCCATGGAAGGAAGTTCAGAACTACATTTTTATTGAAGTGGGAAGCCATTGGAGACCCTCAAGCAGAAAAGTGACAGGATCCAATTTACATGTTTTTCAAAATTACTCTGTAGAGAATGGGTGGATGGGGCAAGAGTTAAAGCATGGACCAGAAAGATGGTTGGTTGTGCCTTGGAGTTACTGAAGATAGAAGATTTTTGGCTAGTTTTGAGGAATATTTAGATGAAATTGCCAGCTTGGTAATATATCAGACAAATGTGGAATGAGATAAAGTGGAGTATTAGAACAGCTTCTAGGTTGCAAGCAGCTTCCTTGATAGGAGATATCATTCACTGGGATAGGGCCCACTGGAAGAGACCACGTTTGAGAGGAGGATTGAGTTTGGTTTTGTCCATACTGTTATTTGAGGTACTTAATCATCATCAAATTTGAGGTGCTTATTCAATGTTGTAGAAACCAAATCTTTTGAATAACTTACAGAAAAACCCTCTTTTTTTTAGGAAAAAGTGTTAATTGAAGCTTACAAGAAATGCCTTGCTGTATTGATGCAGTGTCATGGTGGTTTTACTGATGGTGAACAGCCTATCACACTAAGCATTTGTGGACATTCAGTGGAAACTATCAGATACTGTGTTTCCCAAGAAAAAGTTAGCATTCACCTCCCAGTTTCTCGCTTACTTGCAGGTAAAGCATTTCCCTTAAAAAAAAGAACCCTAAAAATTTTCTGTGGTGGTTAATATTTTTGAGTACCTACTATTATATCTATTATTCTAAGAGTTTTATGTGTTTATTTGATGATCACATGAGGTAGGTATTAATATTAGTTGCTTCACAGATGGGAAGACAGAGGCATAGAGTGTACTTAGTGTCACATGGCAAAGAAGAATCATAATTGGCATTTTGAAGCTGTTTGGCATCACAGGCCATATTTATAACCATTGTACCATAGACTTAACTACAGATACTACACGTTTTATTGTTTATTCAATCCAGCTTCAAAGTTTGTGTTCTTAAAAATCAAACTTATCCACACTTACACATTTGCTATTAAACCAAGGCCACCCTATGCTTTCTCTCCCTCTAAGCTGTTTCTTACACATTGTTGGTAACCTTTTAAACAGAAGTTTATGAATGAGTATCATATTGAGGTGATAGATTTTTTAAACTCAGTCATTGATTTATAAGTAATTTATAATTGTTAAAATATCTGAAACTGCCATCTTGCAGCAGCCAAAGACTTTGAATATGTACTTATTCATCTCTGCAAATTCATTTCAGTACAGCTTCCATATTTCTTGATTCTGGATATTCTTATCCTGCTCAAACACCATTGTTCCCTTGAGTTCCATTTTAACTCAGAAAATAGAAGTTATCAAAAAAGTAGATATTGTTACCCATTGCAGAATATATAATTTACCCTATGTTTGTGGGTAATTTTTAATGTGATATAGAGGATCATACTTAATTTTTGTTTTGTTTTGCTCTTTGTTTTTCCTAGAAGAGATTGTGAAGAATCATATTATTTCTTCCTTATATGTTTGGTAGAGTTTACTAGTGTAACTATATTATGCTTTCAGGATTATTTATTATTGATTCAATTTCTTTAATAGTTATAGGCCTATTCAGATTATCTATTTATCCGTGTGAGTTTTGGTACTTTGTGTCTTTCAAGGAATTTAGGAGCCTAGAGTTATTCATAGTTTTTCTTCATTATCTTTTTAACGAAATGGGGTCAGTAGTAGTGATCCCTCTTTCATTTTGAAGACATTTTTTTCATTATTCTAAGTATTATCACATTGTCCTGCTGATAGACCTTTGTATGCCAGCCGTTTTTGGGGTGTGTTATTGAAGTTGTAGAAAGTTGAGATTACTTATTCTGAGGCTTATGAAATTGTTCTTAAACATATGAATATTGAAATAGTACATTAGATAGTTACTTAGAGTGAATTTGTGATCATACAAAAAAGTTTCTCCTATTGTTTGGGCCCAGTTATGTTTTTATAAGTGTATTGAGCAACTGAAAACTGTTGGTTCTCAACATAGGCAACTGATAGCATGTTCTGGAGAAGGACTGGACTAAAAGACAGGAAAGTGAGTCCCTTGTCCAACTCATCTACTGATCTCTTCTTCCTTTAAAAATCTGTATGTGTTACAAGCTGAAACTGATAGTTATCCACAGTGAAGAAAGTCAGTATTCTAAAAAGGTACTAATCTCTGCCTAGGTCTTTGCCTCCCGAAATTTGTGCAGTGAATATTTTGGAGTAGTCATCTCACAGTATTTGATGATCCCTGTCCTGAATGCTTATAATATAATTGGTGAGCTAAGGAAACATATATAAAACTGGTCCTTAATAACTTGGAGAGTATGCTAACAGAACTTGAGCAATAACTGTTGAGAACAAGTTATTAGAATGGGTCAGTAATGCAGGTCTTCCTGGATGAGGAAGGTGGCCAGTGTACATTGACAGGATTGTAAAGAGCATTCTCTATTTAGGCAGTGACAGAAACAGGACATAATCAGAATTAACTAAGGTCAAGCCACAAAAAGAGCCCCTTGAAATAAGGAACTAAAGGCTTTGATTCTAGAAGTTCTGGAGAACCTAATTCTGATGTTCAAATCAGTGCAAACCTTGAATCCAGGCCATTTTCTCTTTATTTGCCAGAGGATCTTGCACCCGTCATTAAATGGAATAAACTCTATGACCCAGTGAAATATGATTTTTAAAGTTGGCATAACGTGTAAATTGTTTTGACGGTTATATAGCTGCTTTTGCTGTGTTTGTACATCTAACATTTACTTCTAATGTCATCAAAGTATGTTGGGATATATAATTAAGGCTACTTCTAATTCTACTTTTAATATAGAGATTCATTAGAATAACCATTGAAAAGCTTCATTTCTGGATATAGTTTGTTTTATATCTTAAGTTGTAATCCAGGTTCCTAAATATACAAAAAATTTACATAATAAAGTTGAGTGAATATTTAGGGTTTTTTCCTAAATTATTTTAACTTAATAGAAATACTTTTGTTTGTTCTTCCATGCAGGTTTGCATGTATTATTAAGCAAAAGTGAAGTGGCATATAAATTTCCAGAGCTCCTACCTCTAGTAAGTGGTTCTGGCATTTAAACATAAGTACCTGTTTATTATGTTCCTTGTATTTGAAATCAAATTGAAACAAACTTTTATTAATCTTGGTTCTCACCAAGCATGGTGGGACACACCTGTAATACCAGCAACTCTGGGTTCTCCAGAGAAACAAAACCCATAAAATGTGTGCGTGCATGTATGCATGTGTGTTTTAAGGAAAGATTTATTTTAAGAAACTGCCTCATGCGATCATAGGGCCAGCAAATCTAGTCTCCAGGCACCTGACAGACTGGAGGGACCCAGAGAAGAGTTAATGTTGCAGTCTCAAGAACAAAGACAATCATGGAGAGAGAATTCCTTCTCCTCAGGAACCTTAAAGGTCTTTTAAGGCTTTCAGCTGAATTGATCAGGCCTACCCAACATTATGGAGGGTAATTTACTTTACTCAAAGTCTACTGAAATGTTACTCATATATAAAAAACAACTTTTGACAACATCTAGACTATTGTTGACCATAAACTAGGTACCAGACCCCAGTTAAGTTGACACAGAATCAACTGTCACCCAAACATACTGTAAAATAATTTTAACCTGTGTTTTATAAAATTTTGATTCTTGTCAAACAAGTTTCTTTTTGGAATTGACTTTCTATGGATTTTTTCTTTGAATCTACAGAGTGAACTTAGCCCACCAATGTTGATTGAACACCCTCTTAGATGTCTTGTTTTATGTGCCCAAGTACATGCTGGGATGTGGAGAAGAAATGGGTTCTCACTAGTAAACCAGGTAAGCTTTTTCTTTTTTCTTTTTTTTTTTTTAATTCTGTGTAGTTTTCATTCCATTCATTGGCCTCTATGAAGGTTGTAGTTTTCAGTGGATTTAGTTATTGAAAGTTTAAATCTATATGAAATTTTTTAAAAAAATAACTGTAATGATAAACCAATTTTAAGTTTCTTGAAAATTTATTTATAGGTTGTCAGTAAACAAAATTACAAATAGAAATGAATCACAGTGATATTAGTTTTTCTCTTGAAATATTTTTTTAGAACAGTTGAATAGTAAAAAACAATAAAATTATAAATTTCATCTATTTATATTAAATTGGATAAAAAAATAAAAGGTCTCAGTAGAGATCTAAAGTTGAAATTTCACTTTTTAAACTTTACTAAGGCTTAGTATGGATTTTTTTTTTTTTCATATTTTTGGAAGCTCTAAACGTTCATGAAGTAACAACTTTTTACATTTTGTTGGGAAACTCAAGTTGACTGCAAAATGAGAATCAGAATGGATACCACATGGAAATTTCTAATTAATTAATCTGTACTAAGATAATGTTAACCATTCAGGAAATCACATCATATACATACCAATGCTTATACTTACACAAACCCATGTGCTTATAAGTGGGTGAGGGACAAGGAGATAGTTGTACTAGTAAAAGCCTATTTACCCAATATAATGAAATTTTTTTTTTTTTTTTAGATTTATTACTACCATAATGTGAAATGCAGACGTGAGATGTTTGACAAGGATATAGTGATGCTTCAGGTAATGAATTAAAAGTATTGAATCTAAAGGTTTTGGTTACTACTTGTATTTCCACTGAATCCAGTCACCTGTAATCAGTCACTCCTGAATTTACAATTAGCCTAGCCCTATCCAGCAAAGCTCCACACTCAGACTACCAGTCTATAGAACATATCCACCTAGGTTTCCTGGGCACATCTCAGGTTCATCATAGTCAAAATAACTATTCTTACTTCCTTCTTACTTTCTTCCTGTCTTAGATGCCCTACCTTGTTGAGTTATTCCGTAGATCACACAGTTGCTGAAGTCAGAAAACTGAAAACCATCCTTTGGGTATTGATTGTCTTTAACTAATTTTTTGGTTGAGGGGTGGTTTACTGGGGTTTAACTCAAGGGTGCTTAACCATTGAGCTACATCCCCAGCTCTTTTTAAATTTTGAGACAGGGTTTCGTTAAGTTGCTTAGGACCTCACTATAGTGCTGAGGCTGGTTTCAAACTTGTGAGGCCTCTCCTGCCTCAGCCTCCTGTGCCACCACCTCTTACTAGTTACTTAACTAATTTTAAACCCCTTAATTTTCAAGGCTTCAGATACTTAACTACCTTTAAGATCACTGAATTTGCCATGCTATCTCTTTAAGTCTTAAAACTTTGCACATTTATATATTTTGGTCCCTATATTTCTCCCTGCTCCTTTTCCCTTCACCTAGCTTAGTTATTTTCCACTGTGTCTTAGTGTTTAGTTTATTACTTTCTTCAAGAGTCCTTATCTGACGTTCTAGAACTTGACCATTCATTATCCCTTTTGTGAGAACTCATAGCATGATACTTATCCCCACCATCTTCCCTAAACTGTGGCAACTGTGTTCATTTTTTTTTTCTTTTTTTTTTTTTTTGCCCCTTTTGCCTTGCACAGTGCTTGTTCACACAGTGGTTGCTCCATGTTACTGCTAAATGAATATAGTAATTATGAAAAAAAAAGATAAATCAAAATATAGAAAAGATTATTGGTTCCAGGTAAATTAAAATTTAGGTTGATTTAGAATTTTTACAAATGAAATTAAAAGAGAATTGAAACTAATATGTAAAAGCTGTCTCTTCAGCCAGTATAATGCTTATCACACACACCAAAAAAATTTAAGGCATCTTGATAATAATTTAATATAATGCCTATTTTTAAATTCTAGGAACTTAATTGGCATTTAACTCAGAGTCCAGACAGTGAACCCTGATAATAAACCTTTTGAATCAAATTCATAGGAACACAATGATTTCAAAGCATTAAAAGAAAAAAAAGTTTGAAAAAGTCAAATGTGTGGGTTTGGATGTTGGAGGGTTTTTATTCTGTGTGTTTTGCTTTACCAATTTAGATTCCTGTTCCCATTTGTCAGCTACCACATGTAGGGTTTGGGATAAGTAAGTTTTTATCTTTTATTGTAATTGGTAAACAAATAAGCTGTTTTTTCTTGTGCACACCTATATATCTTTCACTAAATGTTTAGTGTCCCTTTTGACCTTCCTCTTTTCCTTTATTTTAAACAAACAAACAAAAAAGACAGGTGTCTCCATGATGGATCCAAATCATTTCCTGATGATAATGCTCAGCCGCTTTGAACTTTATCAGATTTTCAGTACACCAGACTATGGAAAAAGATTTAGTTCTGAAATTACTCATAAGGTAAGGGTGTGTTTTAAGAGATACAACCATCACTAAAGAAGCATCTTTCATTCTTCATGGATATGTTAGTCCTCTGAGAGAATACAGTATGCATATTCTTATCTTTGAATGTTATCTTCCCCTGGTTTGTAGGATGTTGTTCAGCAGAACAATACTCTAATAGAAGAAATGCTGTATCTCATTATAATGCTTGTTGGTAAGTTTATATTGTTTGTTATAAATTACGTTGGACTTTGTGGTAGAAAATAGCTCAGAATTTCTGAACTGTGTTTTGTTATGAGAAGATATGTACTCAGTTTTAGGGGAAGGGAATTAGAACATCCCTTTGTTCCTCCCTCCCCTCTGGTTACTGTAATATTGAGAGTAGTGGTTCTGTGGTGCTTTAGAAAGAGGAGAAAAGACAATTTCAGAAGTAGAATAAACTGGAAGACTGTATGTTTGGGGAAACAGGAGAATTTAGCAAGCAAGGGATAGAACATTTAGAAGCCATTTACTGCTAATTTATATCTTAGATGTTTCCCTGGTTTTGTGATATCTACATATGTTTTGACTCCAAATATACTTCCAAATTAATGGAGACCTATGGCCTATAGATACAGTTGTCTTATTACGTGTCTTTTCAGTCCTCAGCCACCCCTGTCTTTCTGATTCTTTTGTCCCTTAACCTTCTGTCACTTCTGCTATTCAGCCAGATGCTTTATAGTCCATAGAGAATCCAGATTATTGATGGGAAGTGATGCATGAAGAAGGTCTCAAAAGGTGATATCTCACTTGCTACTAGACAGAAAGAAGACTCCCTCCTTACTGTCACAAGGAGGATGCAGTGAAAGCAGTTCCCTTGACTGTATTGTATCCCTTCCTACTCTTTTTCTGATCCTTCCTTCAAAATAGCAACCAGAGCTCTCTCTACTGCCTGAAGTCTGCATTCATTTGCTGTGTCTGAAACTCAGAAGTACGGTTAGGAGCTGCTCTTTCCCTAGTTGGTTCCATGACTAGTCATTTCTTTCCCACTATGCAATGTGTTTTGTTACATAAATTAGAAGTATGTATAAGTATATATCACATAATTATTGTTAAGTATGTGTGTGTGTATGTATGTATAATATATACCTTTTCCTTTTTGACAGGAGAAAGATTTAGTCCTGGGGTTGGACAGGTTAATACTACAGATGAAATTAAGCGGGAGATTATCCATCAGTTGAGCATCAAACCTATGGCTCATAGTGAATTGGTAAAATCTTTACCTGAAGATGTAAGTACCTATATTTTTAAAAAGGAAAATATAATAAGCTTTTCCTTCCTTACAGTTTTATTATGTATAGATTTACTCCTGTATACCTTTCCCATAATTGTAAAAACTACACTTCTAGGATATGTGTAATTCCAGTTACTCTTACTATAAGTAATTAGAAGACAAGAGTACTAGGGACTAGTTGTAGAAAGCCAAACAAGAATAGAGTCTTTTACAATAAGACCTTGAAAGATGTAAGGATGCTGAAAAAAAAGCTGGTCCTGAAATGAATTTTAGTATCCATTAGAGAGAGGTTATATCTTTAATACAGAATTGCCATGACTATAAATAATACTTTGTAATGTAGTATATTGAAGTTGGGAATGAGAAATACCTACCCACATGTGTTGATAGACTGACTACATTTTTCCAGAGCATTTTCCTTCTCAGGCATCCAGAAATTCTCCTTTTTTTCTTTTCTTTCTTTCTTTCTTTTTCTTTTTCTTTTTCCTATCAGTGCTGGGATTGAACTCAGGATCTCATACATACATGCTAGGCAAGGGCTCTACCACTGAGCTATACTAGCCAACCCTTTTTATATTTTATTTTGAGACAGGGTCTTGCTAAGTTGCCCAGACTGACTTCAAACTTTCAATCCTCTTGCCTCAGCCTCCTCAGTAAGGATTACAGGCATCTGCCATCACACTTGGCTTCTCTTTCTTAATAAAGAGCCATTTTTTTTTTCATTTTAGTGAAAGTGAAGTAATAATCACAAAAATATTTATAGGTTGAATTGTAACTCTTTTCCTCCCAGGGCCATAAGTTCCTCAGCTACCTATTTTTCAGCCATAGAGCTTTTCAGAAACTCAACTCTAATAGTTGGGAAGGAACTTGATTTTCATTGAAGTTTTTCAAGATATTTTCCCAAATTTGGAATTAATCAAAACTTTCAACCTTAACATTTATTCTTCTGAGCTTTCAATCTTTGTTACATAATAATACTTTTTTCAAACTTTTTAGTATGAAACATTTCAAACTTGTGCAGAAATAGAAAACATAATAAACCCATCATTGGCTTTTGACAGTTGGCCAACCTTCTGTCATCTATACCTCAATTATTAACCTCTGTGCCCCATTGGATTATTTTGTATAGAATGCTAAGTTTACCATCATCTGTAAGTAGGACTTTATATACCTAACACAGTGATTCTCAACCAGGGATGTTTTTGCCTCCTATGGAGGAGACATTTAGCAGTGTCTCCACTCAGTACAGGTTACAGGGTGCTATTAGTGTATAATGGTTAGAGGCCAGGGATGCCACTACACATCCTACAGTACACAGTACTATAGAAAAGAATCATCTGTTTTAAATGTCAGTGTGCCAAGATTGAGAAGCTTTGATCTAAGAGAGTTTAGAACTCTTTTTAAAAGTTTATATGTATCATCATCACATTTTAGAAACCAACAGTACTTAGTAATTTCTTATCACTGTATATCTAGTCAGGATAAAAATTATTTGTACTTTTTAATGCAGAAAATCAATCTTGGGTTGTTACATAATTTAACCTACACGCTAAAGAAGAATAAATTTAAAGCAGCTTTTTTTTTTTTCTTCTTTCAGTGCTAGGGATCTAACCCAGGGCCTTGTGCATGCTAGGCAAGCTCTCTACCACTGAGCTATAATTCCCATCCCTAAAACCACATTTTTAGAGTGATACAAATTCTTTGTACAAGTGACAGCAACTATATTTCTCAGACATTTTGACGACAGATTTCCTTACTTACAGAATTTCTGTTGAAATGGAGGTGCTATTTCACTGAAAATAGATAAGAAATTAATATAACTATTTCACAAAATATTATATTTTACCCAAATTCTTTTTAAATGTTTTACACATTTTGAATTTTTATTTAATTCCTTTTGAAAGCTACTACCTTGGTCCCATATGGTAGTGATATTTTTTGAAATTATATAACTTTGAACATCAGCTTGCAAAAAGTCTAAATGTATATATCTTCATCTTTAAAAATAGGAATAATAATATATCCATTCATAGGGTTGCCATAAGGGTTATGGAGATAAAGCATCATGCTCAAATTGATATCAGTTGTTATTAACATGAAGCACATTTACTTGTTTCTGTACCTTTAGGAAAACAAGGAGACTGGCATGGAGAGCGTAATTGAAGCAGTTGCCCATTTCAAGTGAGTATCTTTCCTGTTATTTCACATTTTATGGGTTTTTTTAATAGTAATTTTTCTTAGAGTGTTTCCTTTGATGAAACTGAGGATGAATTTGTTGCTTTCAGAGTGACATTTTCATGTTATAATTCTGAGCTGAACATCTCACTTTTATGATCTAGTACTGCACTCAGCAATATAAAGTAACATTATGAGGATTTTTCATAGCATTCAGGAGGAACCATAGCTAATAGTTTCAAATAATAATTAACCTGACCAGTGGTCTTGACTTGTGATCAAAGTAAATACATTGTAATTTCTTAAAATTGCTTTCTTTGTTTGCATTTAAATGTGACCCGTAAGTTATGAGATAGCCCTGAATGCTTCCTTCTCCATTGTCTAGTATGTACCCCATTGAATAAACTAGTTTATCCTCTTGAAGTTATTGAGGCAGATTCTTAGTCTTGCTTTTTTTTTTTTTCTACTTCCCACTCCAACTGCTGTATCTTTGTTTGTTTTTAATATTTTTAATTGTAGATGGATACAATACCTTTATTATCTTATTTTTTTATTTTTGTGTGTATTGAGGATCGAACCCAGTGCCTCACACATACTAGGCAAGCACTTTACCGCTGGGCTACAACCTCAGCCCCTGCAGTGTCTTTATTTTTATTGATTATAAAGGCAATACATGCTTTTAGAGAAATACAGAAAGGTAAAGGTAGGAAGAAAAAAGTATCACCATAATCCAACCACTTAGGTGATTTCTACTACATTATATATTCCTCTAAGTTTTTCTCTATATTCGTAACATTTGTATCTGTATGTATGTGTCAATGGCTAGGAATATACATACTTTAAAAAAATGGATTCACTTCTTTATAGTTACGTACTATAATGTATTTAACCTCTCCCTTGTTGATGGATATTTGATGTTCTTTATTATGAACAAAGTACTGAGCAGTAGTACATGTCATTGGTGTATAAAAGTATTTCTTTGAGGAACTGCAGAATCAAAAGAAAGCATATGTATTTTAATACATAACCTCCAAATTGCCTTCCTCAAGATGTTATCAATTTCTACTCCCAGTTCTAATAGTGGAAGAGAGTTTCCTAGAATTTTGTCAAGGCTTTAATATTTTAATATATGTATTCTTTTTTACCTTTTTTTTTAAAGTGGTTCTGGAGGTTGAAACTATGACTTCAATATATGCTCTCTACCACTGACCTATACCCCTAGCCTTGTTCACTTTAATTTATACACATTAGGTAGGTGTTACTTTATTTTAATAGGCATTGTTCTACCAATAAGGCTAAACATCTTTTCATGTGTTTATTGACCATTTATAATTAGTCATATTTGTGTACATTTTTCTTTGCAGTAGTTCATCCCCATCTTATTGTTCCATAATTATTTTTATATATTAGAGATATTGATTCTTACTCTATTAAATACATTGCAAGTACTTTGTCCCCATCACTTCATTTTTTATTTTTTTAACTTTGGTGGTGTTTCTCACAAGTGTTTTAAATATCTTTCTGTCTTATTCAGCTTCTGGGTTTATATCCTGCTTAGGAAGGCTCTTTAAATTCCAGTATTGTGCCTGCTTTTTTTTTTTTTTTTTTTTTTTAAACTTAATAGAATTTATCACAAACATCTTTACATATCAGAATACAGAGGGGCTGGGGATGTGGCTCAAGCAGTAGCGTGCTCGCCTGGCATGCATGCAGCCTGGGTTTGATCCTCAGCACCACATACAAACAAAGATGTTGTGTCCGCCAAGAACTAAAAAATAAATATTAAAAAATTCTCTCTCTCTCTCTCTCAAAAAAAAAATATATATATATACAGAAATTAACATCACTTTTAATGGTGTTCAGTTGCTTAGAAATGTTGTCATTTATGTAACCTGTCCCCTGTTGTCAGGCTTTTCAGTTGTTGGTGCTACATATCCATCATATCCACTTGTCTATTCAGGATGAATTCAAAGTGGAGGTAGTAAATAAAATAGATGCACATTAGAATTTGGATTGAGAATTCCAAATTAAGTTTCAACTTAACACCCATCGGAAGGATATCAGAGATTTGGTTCTTATCCTAACATCTGAGACTCATGAATTGGTGTATGACTTCAATATAAATATTATAAGGGTCTTTTTTTTCCCCCCTAGAAAACCTGGATTAACAGGACGAGGCATGTACGAACTGAAACCAGAATGCACCAAAGAGTTCAACTTGTATTTCTATCACTTTTCAAGGGCAGAGCAGTCCAAGGTAACTGGGAAATTTTAAAGTATGCGGGGTCCAGGCACAATTGTGCTTGTTCCTAGCTATTCAGGAGGCTGAGGCAAAAGGATCAAAAGTTTAAGGCCAACCTTGGCAACTTAGCAAGACCCTGTCTCAACATAAAAATAGGCTAGGGATGTAGCTGAGTGGTAAAGCATCTCTAAGTTCAATCCTCAGTACCCAAAAATAAATTAAAAGTATAATGAGAAGGGGTTGGATTTTTATCCTTTAAAAATCTTTTACTGCTTTTCACAGATTGAAAAAATAATTTTCTTCATTTTTATTGTAGAAATTTAGAAAATATGAAAAAGGTATAATTACAGAAAAAAATTACAAATTGCATAGACTATCACTGCTTAACATTTTGGATACCCCTGCCCTCAGGGTTTTATGCATAGATTATAAGCTTTATATGTATATATAATCTTATATATTCCCATACGTATTGGATTTTGAAGACAAATTTTCAACCTGCATTATAATTACTTAACCCATTTTACACACATTTCAGAATTGGTTCTACTAAAAATGCTTTTCCATGGAGATTTATTCAGTTTTCCTAATCACTTTTAAGTATATTTTGCCTTTTAGTAGTCTCCTTATACTTTTCCTTTTATAATAAGTGGCATTATACAAAACTAGTGTTTTGGTTTTGATTTTGGTACTGGGGATTGAACCCAGAAGCGCTTAACAACTGAGCCACATCCCCTACCCTTTTTTATATTTTATTTAGAGACAGGGTCTTGCTGAATTGCTGAGGCTGCATTTGAACTCATGATCCTCATGCTTTAGCCTCTCAAAACGCTGGGGTTACACAGGTGCACCACTGCACCCGGCAGAAACCTAGTGTTTAATATTATCATATAGCCTAAATTTGAGTTTGGTTTGTACATATTTCCCTTGCATTTTAATGCAACAAAGAAGTCATTTGGGGCAGCTTTTAGAGGGGAAAAAGTTAACTCTGGCATCAGTTTGGGAGGAACTGCAACACTAATGATAAAAAGAAATCTTCTGAGCAGCTGGGGATATTGCCTTGCATGCACAAGGCCCTGGGTTCGATCCCCAGAACCACAAAAGAAAAAAAAAAAATCTTCTAAACCGGAAGATAATAGAGACTGAATTACATTACTAGTTTAGGGTATTAAATTATTTTGTATTATAAATGCCATCTAAATAACTTTCATTTTTACTAGGCAGAAGAAGCTCAGCGGAAATTGAAAAGACAAAATAGAGAGGATACAGGTATTTTTAATCTTTCCAGAAATCTCATGTTGATCTCTTCTGCTTGCTGAAGTTTATTTTCTAACTATGAAAGATTTAAATGTAAGCTTTCCAAGTGAACTTCCTCCTAATTAATCAAAGGAATAATAAATAAATATTAACATAAAGATAGTCTGTATTAAGTCACTTTGGGGTTGATGTTTTTTTCTCAAATTTTGAGGCATTTCTAGGGGAAAAGAAATGTTTTTCTTTTTACTGCTATCTATGCAACCTTTTTTGTACATTGGACTAACTTTGAGAAGGTGAAATATAGTTTTAAGATGTGTGTTGTGCTGGGGATGTGGCTCAGTAGTAAGGTGTTTGCCTAGCATACACAAGGCTCTGAGCTCCATCACCAGCACCAGAAAAAATTTTTTTTTCTAAAGAGAGATATTTGTTAATGAATACTCTTCAAATGAAGATTATCAAAAGTATCTAACAGTTTTTAAAAACGTGTTCTACAAAAGAAACCATAATAACTTTATTTTCAGCACTTCCACCTCCAGTTTTGCCTCCATTCTGCCCTTTATTTGCAAGTCTAGTTAACATTTTGCAGTCAGATGTCATGTTGTGCATCATGGGAACAATACTACAATGGGCTGTGGAGCATAATGGATATGCCTGGTCAGAGTCAATGCTACAAAGGGTATGTTTGAAGACATTTCTTATATATATGTATGTATATATACACACACACACACACACACACACACACACATACGTATATAGTGTTTTGTAGTGAGAAACCAAAGTACTCTTGTCATTATCTATACACAGAAAAATTAGGACAAAATGTACTGTATTAACTTAATTCTTAATATCATATTATTATTCCTTTTGTGTATGGCTGTGAAAATTTGTGCCTGGTAGATATATTTGGTCAATATATCTCTCCATAATTGGTCCTGGCCGCTGCATACACAGTCTCTGATATTGGTATAATGTGTTAGCTTTTATGTATATTAAAAAAAAAAAAAAACCTTGATTTCCTCAGTATCCATATTTTTTATATTTATTTTTTTTAGTTGTAGTTGGACACAATACCTTTATTTATTTATTTATTTTTATGTGGTGCTGAGGGTTGAACCAAGGGCCTCACATGTGCCAGGCGAGTGCTCTACTGCTGAGCCATTACCCAGCTCAGTATTCATATTTTGTAATCGAAGAAATTGAAATTTGAAGACTTATATTTCTATAACTAAAAACTGGGAAATCTTGAACCTTGTTTAAATTAACTTTATAGTGGTAATGTAAGTCATTCTTACATTATCTCCTAGAAGTCACACAATACCCTGTTAACAGGTACTGCTTTTTCCATTGTATGGATGAGGAAGCCAAGTTTCAGTGAGGTTCATTTAATTTCTCACTACTCATCTAGTGATGACAGCAAAACAATTATTCAGTTTACAGAAATAAAGTGCTATGCTAGGCACTTTACATACAGAATTTATAATACTCAGGCCTCTAAAGAAGCAGTTTGTTCCTAGGTTAAAGATGATGAGACCATTTAGGGTCTCCTTGAGAGAGAAGAAGGCTTGAAAGCAGTAAAGCCAGGAATTCAACTACCATTCCTTTAATTGTCTGAACAGGCTTAAGTATCTCATTGGCTAAAGTGTATGAATACTTAAGCAATCCCATTTATAAACATGTATTTAAAATGGTAAAAGCTGGGAGCTGTGTTGTAGTAGAGATTAGTACTGTGTGAGCAAAAGATTTGTGGGAAATGAAGGAGTGAGGAGCAATGAACAGTATTCACTTCATATATGCACTTATGTCATTCAGGCTAATCTAGTTCTTCCAAGTCTAACAAGTACACTCTGTGGGGAGAAAACAGACCTCACACATATATCCCCCTTAAAAAAAACTAGTGAGCAGAACAGGAGCAGTAAATTATATACAAGTTCAATGTAGTTATATGTTTTCTTTAAGTCTCTTAAGGAATCTTTGTCAGATTATGCAAGAACCACAAACATTTTAGTAAATTGTGTAACAGTAGAGATAAAAATATGACTCTTGGATGATTAATATAGACACCTTCAGCTCTGTAATTATTTGGCCAATGAATATCATAAGATATTTTTTTTAAGACTGAAGTGTAGGTATGGAACAAAACTGAACATTATGTATTACATGAATTGCTTGGCCATAGTTTATAGTAATTTTAGCTTGCCCTAATATTTTAACTCTAAAATAGAAAATTTCATTTCCTTACTGAGAATTTTTTTATTATAAAATGAACCTCAGTCTTTGAATTCAATAAAAAATAATATTTAGAATTGTTTCTTATTGCATTTAATCTTTAATAACTTGATTTAACTTTTCAATCATGAGTTAATTATTTTTGTTATATGAAATAAGAATATATACTTGATTATTTTACTAAAAAGTTAACAAAACATTTTATTTGAGGTGTTACATTTAATTGGAATGGCACTACAAGAAGAAAAACAACATTTAGAGAATGTCATGGAAGAGCATGTAGTAACATTTACCTTCACTCAGAAGATTTCAAGTATGTATACACTTTTTAACTGAACTAACGCAAAATGTAAGTGATTTCAAATAATCACTTATAACTTCTTTTATTTGATTATGTAAGTTCTATTTAGGTAATGTTGAATTCAAATATTTGAGGCCACATATTTCATCTTTGTGTTAAAGGTATCATATTAGATCTTAATATAAAAATACTTGGGGCCTACACATACTTGAGATGCATAAATTTTAATTCATAAACAGTAAAAAATATTGAGGAGTTCTTAGGTTGAAACTGGTATAGCACATACATTTATCTTTAGGAAATAGATGTGTGGGGGAGGGGTTTTTGGTTGATTTTTTTTTTTTTTTTTTCCCTCCAGTACTGGGGACAAAACCCTAGAGGCGCTCTACCACTGAGCCATACTCCTGGTTCTTCTTCTTTTTTATTTTGAAACTGGATGTAAGTTGCCCAGACTGTCTTCAAACTTAAATCCTCCTGCCTCAGCCTCCATAGTAGATGGGATTGCAGGATTTCATTTTAATTTTTTTTAGTTATTTTACAAAAACATAAGATTGTATAATGTTGAAAATAAAATTAGCTGTAGGGGATTGGATTGTAATTTTATGCAAAGTAATTGTTTCTTTTTATTTTTTTCTAAGAAGGCCAGGAAAATATTTTTCATTTTTATTTTAAAACTTTCGGAAATGTGAGACAAGTTGAGAGTTGTACAATAAACACCCACATACCTACCACCTAGACTCAGTTGTTAATATTCAGGGATATTCATGTTTATATTTGTGTACCTTTGAACCATTTGTTGTAGACATCATATTTAACCTCTTAAAAATAAGCTTTTATTAATTTTTAGAATAAGCATTTGGTCTAATAATTACCTGTTACGGATAACAACTTTGAATCTTTACAGTTTGTGTGTGTTTTTTAAAAAATATGACTTGTACATTTTTATTTATTCAGTGTGTTACAGTTATTATTATTGTTCCTATTGATTCTCAGATCATGCCACTTTTGGTCAATAGGAGTTCATGCAGTTTCTGTGTCCCTTTCACCTAGTCTGTTAGTGTTTTTTCATCACCCTGCTTTCTGGTGCCAGAGTTGACAGGCTCAGCTTGTGCTTGCCTTGCCCAGACCCGCAATCAGCCATGTGCTAAATGTTTATAAATGAATTTATGGTCTTGTGATAGGATTTACGAATTCCTGAATTGAAAAGGATTATTTCTATAACTTTATTCAGTGCCATTTCTTCCTAAATGATAAGGACTGTGAGAATACTATCCTCTACTACTGAGGACAGAGGAGGAAGTGGTCCTCTTTACTGCTAGATCTCTAGTTTGCCTTTTTGCCTTCATCAAGTAAATGAAAGCAAGAGGAGAAACTGCCTGTTGCCACTGAAGACTGTCTTTGTGGGTGCCAGCCTTTCCCTACTCCTTTTTTTCTCTTGATATTCTTCCCATGGATTAATGTTGAACCTCCTGTTTTCTTTGTCTCTAATGCTTTTACTTTAGAATAACTGCAAAGACAGCTCCCTGATTTCATTTACTCATCATTAAATATCAAGTTCACCCTTTCCCCTTCTTTCTTTTTTAAAACAATCATCATTTTTTTCTGGACATTACTCTTATTCTTTTAAAATATTTCTTTTAAATAAGACACACAATATATATTTATTTGTTTAAAAAAAAAAAGAATCCTCTCATCTAGAGTCAGATTCCTAAAGCACAACCACAGAATTTTAGATCTGGAAGAATATTCAAGATCACATGGTTCAATCCCTTCTCCTCTTAGGAAAGAAGAATGTTTTGCCAGAATGTCAGCACTTAAATCAAGAAAATCAATAATTTGACATTTCTGACTACAAACTAAATTAGCTAATATTGGATTAAAGGTACTCTTGAATATGGTCTTGACTTTTATTTTCTTCAAATACAGAAGCAATTAATTTTTAAGGGAAAAATTTTGTTTTATTTTGAATATACCTTTTATTAAAGAAAAGGTTCAAGTAAATAGATATATTTATACATATGTGCACCCCTATAACCCTAATTCATTTTCTTAGACTTATAAAATCTCAAACCAGATTTTTTTGGTGAGTTTTCATTTAATATTGCTAGAAGCTATGTTAATAATTTGGTGTAAGAAGTGAATTATGATTGCTTGATGAACTCTAAGACATATGTCACATTCTCAAGAAGTATTAATAATCTCTATAAGTATTAATAATCTATTAAGTAAGGCTGTAATTAAATGATAAGCAACAGATAATGATAAGCACCTACATTCATCTTCTTGTAGACAAGACTAAGCTCTGTAAATTGTCAGCTAGTGTTATTTTGCCTTTTATTTTTTCTGCCTTAGAACCTGGTGAAGCACCAAACAATTCTCCAAGCATCCTAGCTATGCTGGAGACACTACAAAATGCCCCCTACCTGGAAGTCCACAAAGATATGATTAGGTGGATTTTAAAGGTAACATCTTTCAAACTGCTCTGATTGTGAGAAACATTAAATATTTGTTGTGATAATATTTCATAATTTCAGGGTAACTGATACTATTTTTTTGTCTTAGACTTTTAATGCTATTAAGAAGATAAGAGAGAGTTCATCTACCAGTCCTGTGGCAGAGACAGAAGGAACTATAGTGGAAGAGGTAAAAAAAAGTACATGCCTGCAGGCATGGTGGTACACACCTGTAATCCCAAGAGGCTGAGGCAGGAGAATCATGAGTTCAGAGCCAGCCCCAGCAAAAGCAATGTGCCAAGTAACTCAGCGAGACCCTGTCTCTAAATAAAATAGAAAATATGGCTGGGGATGTGGCTCTGTGGCTGAGTATCCCTGGATTTGATCCCCAGAACCCCTCCGCCCAAAAAAGAAAAGTAAATGTCTTGCATGAGTCCCTGTGTTCAATCTCCAGCACTACAAAAAGAAAAAGAAAGTAAAGTGTGATAATACTGACAAATTGTAGCAAGTTTAGTATGAGCAAATTAAATTCATCTGCAGTAAGTTGATATTATTCACAAACATTAAATTCCAAGAAATGTGCCACAAATACATTTATTTGTGGGCAATTTTTTTTGGAGGGGTGGTTATTTTGTGTTTTTTTTTTTTTTTTTTTTTTTAATATTATTTTGAAGATCTCTTCTTTGGGCTAAGCAAGATTGTAGAATAGTTTTGAATATTGATACTAAATATACATCTCTGCTTTGGGAAAGAAAATGTTCATTTTGCATCTGATGGTCTAATTGAATGAATTATAATTTCAGAGTTCAAGAGACAAAGACAAAGCTGAGAGGAAAAGAAAGGCTGAGATTGCCAGACTGCGTAGAGAAAAAATCATGGCCCAGATGTCTGAGATGCAGCGACACTTTATTGATGAGAACAAAGAGCTCTTTCAGCAGACATTAGAACTGGATTCCTCTACCTCTACTGTTCTTGATAATAGGTAAAGAAAGTAATCACAATTTCTTAAATGTCTTGACTAGAGTAGTTTTCAGTTAGGGAAGTGTTTCTTTTCTTTTTCTTCAGGAGTATATTTTTAGTCCTAAGTAATTTAGTAGAATTGTTAGTTAAGTTTTGTGCCATCCACCTAAAGAAATTAATCTTAGAAATCTTTGACTATAGACACCTAAAGTATTTTCCACATGAGATCCTCAACATTCTTGAAAGAATACACTTACTCCTTCCCTCTGCCCTATCTAGAGTTCATCTATTCCTCCCATGCTTCCCCTCCCAACCCCACTATGAATCAGCCTCCTTGTATCAGAGAAAACATTCGGCATTTGGTGTCTTGTGATTGGCTAACTTCACTTAGCATTGTATTCTCCAACTCCATCCATTTACTTGTAAATGTCATGATTTTATTCTCTTTTATTGCTAAGTTATATTCCATTGTGTATAAATACCACATTTTCTTTATTCATTCATCTACTGATGGGCATCTAGGTTGGTTCCACAGTTTAGTTATTGTGAATTGTGCTGCAATTAACATTGATGTGACTATGTCCCTGTAGTATGCTGTTTTTAAGTCCTTTGGGTATAGACCAAGGAGTGGGATAGCTGGGTCAAATGGTGGTTTTATTCCAAGTTTTCCAAGGAATCTCCAAACTCCTTTCCATATTGGCTGCACCATTTTGTAGTCCCACCAGCAGTGTAAGAGTGTGCCCTTATTTCTTCATATATTTGTTGGTTGATTGTATATCATCTTCTGAGAAGTGTCTGTTCAGTTCATTGGCCCATTTATTGATTGGGTTATTTGGTTTTTTGGTGCATAGCTTTTTGAGTTCTTTATATACCCTAGAGATTAGCATTCTATCTGATGTGCAAGTGGAAAAAATTTGCTCCCAAGCTTTAGGCACTCTATTTACCTCAATTATTGTTTCTTTTGCTGAGAAAAAGCTTTTTAGTTTGAATTCATCCCATTTATTAATTCTTGATTTTAATTCTTATGCTATAGAAATCCTATTAAGGAAGTAGAGACCTAATCCAATATGATGGAGATTGGGGCCTACTTTTTCTTCTATTAGACGCAGGGTCTCTTGTTTAATTCCTAGGCTTTTGATCCACTTTAAATTGAGTTTTGTGCATGGTAAGAGAGAGGGGTTTAATTTTCATTTTATTGCATATGGATTTCCAGTTCTCCCAGCACTATTTGTTGAAGAGGCTATCTTTTCTCCAATGTATGTTTTTGGCGCCTTTGTCTAATATAACTGTAATTATGTGGGTTAGTCTCTGTGCCCTCTATTCTAAGGAGATGGTTTTAGTATATTTTATAAAAGATTCCTGACTGTTCAAGTCATTAAATATCTGTATTCCTGGAGCTTGTGCTCTCTAGTCTGTGGTGTTGCAGCCACTCTCACGATTGCTTGGGTATGGACTGTGCCACAACCTCTTTTGGACCCACTTTAGTGCCAGAGACTGGACCACAGACACCTTGGAGTTTTCTGGAGAACAGAACCTCTGAATGGAGTCTTCTTGGGAAGCTTTGCCAATTTGCAACATCTGGACAATGTTCCTCATTCACACCTGTCAGTGAGCATAGTCATGACATTATTTCACTGTAGTGGCAAGGACTCAGCTCCAAAATTATATGTAGAAAAAACACCTGGATTCCAGTTTTTTCAGCGCTTCAAGACAACCAGAAGTACCTGTTCTTGGGCCTTTAGGCAAGATTACCCTGCCCATTCAGCTATGATGATGCCCTTAAGGACCCAGCACCCATAACTCTTCTTCCATCAGACATAGGCAGCATCTCCTAGAAGTCGGTGATTCCAGAGCACAAGTATCAGCATGTTGCCAAGGAGGAGGAAGGAGAGGTCAGTGTAACCTTCCTGCCATGACCCTATCAACAGTCACTGATAGTATGGACAAGGTCCCAGAGTTACCCATGTTATCATGAATTCTCTGATTACAAAACAGACCCAGGCAGGACTGAGAGACGCTAGCTATACACCCCACAAGGGCCTTACTACCAAGGAGGCAAAGTATCTCTTAGTATTGCAAGCATTTCACAAACTAAAGCTACAGAGTGGAAAAAATAACAAAAGCAGCCTGCATCAGCCTAGTACATTCCAAGCAACACCCCTCACTCTTTCCCTAAGCAGAGGCCCAGAGGCTGGTCTTCTGGTTCCTCTGTATCCTTACCTCGTCCAAATCCTAGCACCATAGATCCAGGAAAGGACAGAAACTCGTCAGATAAATGGTGACTTTTTGGACCCTGACCTCTTCAGAAGCCTGATTCTGGAGGTTTTGCCATCCATGACTGAAAAGGAGCCCAAAAGCCCTCTCCCATGGAGTTGATTTGTGCCCAGGTCACCTGAATGGCTGAAGATCCAGCAACCATCAAGCCACCCAAGATGGATGTCCCAGCAATAGAAAGGAAGAAACAACTGCCGTGGACCCATAATCTCAAATTGCATGACTTGAATGTGCTCACACCCACTGGATTTTAGAGTACTTTCTATCCCAGGTACTCAGGATAGAGGGTTTCTTGTTCTTTATCCTCCTTTTGCCTTGGCTATAACATAGGAATGGTATATTAAAAAAAAAAAAAAAAAAAGCTGGGCACAGTGGCACATGCCTGGAATCCCAGTGGCTCCAGAGGCTTGAGACAGGAGGATTGCAAGTTCAAAGCCAGCCTCAGCAACAGCAAGGCACTGAGCAACTCACTGAGACCTTGTCTCCAAATAAAATAGGCTGGGATGTGGCTCAGTGGTTGAGTGACCCTGAGTTTAATCCCTGGTTACCTGCCCCCCCACCCGCAAAAAAAAAAAAAAAAACACTCTCAAACTGACACTAAAAGTAGACACAAAATTAATTCTGAGAAACATCAGTGCAAAGCTTGTCCTTGAGTGGAAGAAACCATTTCGTAGTGTTTTAAAGTCAGATTTAAAAAATCTCAGCAGTGATATTTGGGGAACTTTTTTGTATTAGTACCCCAGACCATAACTTTGATTATTGCTTACTAGATAAATAATGTTTATGCTATTCCATAACCTAGGCTTCTTTTTACCACCATCAACATGAGCATTGACAAATCATGGTGTAGAGGTATCTGCTGGCAAGTTTGGGTGAATTTGGCCTTCTCGACGTGGCTGATGCTGTGCTGCAGCTTAGGGGGACCTAAGACCTGTTTAAGATTTAGGTACAGTTAACAGCTAGACTTGGCAAGGGCCCCTCTTTTCTAAGCTAAAACTGGACTCTCCTTGCTCTTTGGTCACCCTATGGATTACTTTGTCCTGGTAGCCAGTTCTTCATGCTTCTTGGTACCTCATGCCACTGCTGTTGGAGGGCTGCTTCTCTTTTCCATGTCACAGAACAAACACTAGTTTTACATATCCTTTCTTGCACTTTAAAGTGAGATTAGTTTAACTCCAATTTGGTTGGAAACTTCCTAAAAGGAGAAAATTAAGGCTATTGATTTGATATTAACAAATGGAGGTTAAGATTTTGTTTGTTTGTTTTTTGTGGTCCTGGGGATTGAACCCAGGGCCTTGCACATGCCAGGCAAGTACTCTACCATTGAACTATACTTGCTGCCTTGGGAGTTCATGTAAAATTAGGTCAATTATTTCAGTTATTTCAATTTTTTTGTTCAGGTCAGAGCTTAAAATTTTTTTGGAGAAGAGATGGAAAAATTCAAAATAACAAAAACATTTTTCACCAAAATGAGCTTCATATCTTCTTGCAACACATATCTTAGAAACTGTGTTTTTATTTATTTAAAATTTTTTTTTTTTAGGTGTAGATGGACACAACACAATGCCTTTATTTATTTTTTTTAATTTTTCTTGTTGGTTGTTCAAAACATTACATAGTTCTTGATATATCATATTTCACACTTTGATTCAAGTGGGTTATGAACTCCCATTTTTACCGCGTATACAGATTGCAGAATCACATCAGTTACACATCCATTGATTTACATATTGCCATACTAGTGTCTGTTGTATTCTGCTGCCTTTCCTATCCTCTACTATCCCCCCTCCCCTCCCCTCACCTCTTCTCTCTACCCCCTCTACTGTCATTCATTTCTCCCCCTTGTATTTTTTTTTCCCCTTTCCCCTCACTTCCTCTTGTATGTAATTTTGTATAACCCTGAGGGTCTCCTTCCATTTCCATGCAATTTCCCTTCTCTCTCCCTTTCCCTCCCACCTCTCATCCCTGTTTAATGTTAATCTTCTTCTCATGCTCTTCGTCCCTACTCTGTTCTTAGTCACTCTCCTTATATCAAAGAAGACATTTGGCATTTGTTTTTTAGGGATTGGCTAGCTTCACTTAGCATAATCTGCTCTAATGCCATCCATTTCCCTGCAAATTCTATGATTTTGTCATTTTTTAATGCAGAGTAATACTCCATTGTGTATAAATGCCACATTTTTTTTTTATCCATTTGTCTATTGAAGGGCATCTAGGTTGGTTCCACAGTCTTGCTATTGTGAATTGTGCTGCTATGAACATCCATGTAGCAGTGTCCCTGTAGCATGCTCTTTTTAGGTCTTTAGGGAATAGACCGAGAAGGGGAATAGCTGGGTCCAATGGTGGCTCCATTCCCAGCTTTCCAAGAAATCTCCATACTGCTTTCCAAATTGGCTGCACCAATTTGCAGTCCCACCAGCAATGTACAAGTGTACCCTTTTCCCCACATCCTCGCCAGCACTTGTTGTTGTTTGACTTCATAATGGCTGCCAATCTTACTGGAGTGAGATGGTATCTTAGGGTGGTTTTGATTTGCATTTCTCTGACTGCTAGAGATGGTGAGCATTTTTTCATGTACTTGTTGATTGATTGTATGTCCTCCTCTGAGAAGTGTCTGTTCAGGTCCTTGGCCCATTTGTTGATTGGGTTATTTGTTTTTCTTATTGTTTAATTTTTTGAGTTCTTTGTATACTCTGGATATTAGGGCTCTATCTGAAGTGTGAGGAGTAAAGATTTGTTCCCAGGATGTAGGCTCCCTATTTACCTCTCTTATTGTTTCTTTTGCTGAGAAAAAAGTTTTTAGATTGAGTAAGTCCCATTTGTTGATTATAGTTATTAACTCTTGTGCTATGGGTGTCCTATTGAGGAATTTGGAGCCCGACCCCACAGTATGTAGATCATAGCCAATTTTTTCTTGTATCAGACACCGTGTCTCTGATTTGATATCAAGCTCCTTGATCCATTTTGAGTTAACTTTTGTGCATGGTGAGAGAAAGGGATTCAGTTTCATTTTGTTGCATATGGATTTCCAATTTTCCCAGCACCATTTGTTGAAGATGCTATCCTTCCTCCATTGCATGCTTTTAGCCCCTTTATCAAATATAAGATAGTTGTAGTTTTGTGGATTGGTTTCTGTGTCCTCTATTCTGTACCATTGGTCCACCCGCCTGTTTTGGTACCAGTACCATGCTGTTTTTGTTACTATTGCTCTGTAGTATAGTTTGAAGTCTGGTATCGCTATACCGCCTGATTCACGCTTCCTGCTTAGCATTGTTTTTGCTATTCTGGGTCTTTTATTTTTCCATATGAATTTAATGATTGCTTTCTCTATTTCTACAAGAAATGCTGTTGGGATTTTGATTGGCATTGCATTAAACCTATAGAGAACTTTTGGTAATATCGCCATTTTGATGATGTTAGTTCTGCCTATCCATGAACAGGGTATATTTTTCCATCTTCTAAGATATTCTTCTATTTCTCTCTTTAAGGTTCTGTAGTTTTCATTGTATAAGTCTTTCACCTCTTTTGTTAGGTTGATTCCCAAGTATTTTTTTTTTTTTTTTGAAGATATTGTGAATGGAGTGGTTGTCCTCATTTCCATTTCAGAGAATTTGTCGCTGATATACAGGAATGCCTTTGATTTATGCATGTTGATTTTATATCCTGCCACTTTGCTGAATTCATTTATTAGCTCTAATAGTTTCTTTGTAGACCCTTTTGGGTCTGCTAGGTATAGAATCATGTCTGCTGCAAATAGTGATAATTTAAGTTCTTTTCCTATTTTGATGCCTTTAATTTCTTTCGTCTGTCTAATTGCTCTGGCCAGTGTTTCGAGAACTATGTTGAACAGAAGTGGTGAGAGAGGGCATCCCTGTCTTGTTCCAGATTTTAGAGGGAATGCCTTCAATTTTTCTCCATTCAGAATGATGCTAGCCTGAGGCTTAGCATAGATTGCTTTTACAATATTGAGGTATGTTCCTGTTATCCCTAGTTTTTCTAGAGTTTTGAACATAAAGGGATGCTGTACTTTGTCGAATGCTTTTTCCGCATCTATCAAGATGATCATATGGTTCTTATTTTTAAGTCTATTGATGTGGTGAATAACATTTATTGATTTCCGTATATTGAACCAGCCTTGCATCCCAGGGATGAATCCTACTTGATCATGGTGCACAATTTTTTTGATATGTTTTTGTATCTGATTCGCCAGAATTTTATTGAGGATTTTTGCATCTAGGTTCATTAGAGATATTGGTCTGTAGTTTTCTTTCTTTGAAGTGTCTTTGTCTGGTTTAGGAATCAGGGTGATGTTGGCCTCGTAGAATGAATTTGGAAGTTCTCCCTCTTTTTCTATTTCCTGAAATAGCTTGAAAAGTATTGGTATTAGTTCCTCTTTAAAGGTTTTGTAAAACTCTGCTGTATACCCATCCGGTCCTGGGCTTTTCTTAGTTGGTAGTCTTTTGATGGTTTCTTCTATTTCCTCAATTGATATTGGTCTGTTCAGGTTGTCTATATCCTCCTGACTCAATCTGGGCAGATCATATGACTTAAGAAATTTATCGATGCCTTCACTATCTTCTATTTTATTGGAGTATAAGGATTCAAAATAATTTCTGATTATCTTCTGTATTTCTGAAGTGTCTGTTGTGATATTGCCTTTTTCATCCCGTATGCTAGTAATTTGAGTTCTCTCTCTTCTTCTCTTCGTTAGCATGGCTAAGGGTCTGTCGATTTTATTTATTTTTTCAAAGAACCAACTTTTAGTTTTGTCAATTTTTTCAATTGTTTCTTTTGTTTCAATTTCATTAATTTCGGCTCTGATTTTAATTATTTCTTGCCTTCTACTTCTTTTGCTGTTGTTTTGCTCTTCTTTTTCTAGGATTTTGAGATGAAGTATGAGATCATTTATTTGTTGGTTTTTTCTTTTTTTAAGGAATGAACTCCAAGCAATGAATTTCCCTCTTAGAACTGCTTTCAATGTGTCCCATAGATTCCGATATGTTGTGTCTGTGTTTTCATTTATCTCTAAGAATTTTTTAATTTTCTCCTTGATGTCTTCTATAACCCATTGATCATTCAGTAACCTATTGTTCATTCTCCAAGTGATGCATGATTTTTCCTTCATTCTTTTATCGTTGATTTTCAGTTTCATTCCATTATGATCAGATAAGATGCATGGTATTATCTCTACTCCTTTATATTGTCTAAGAGTTGCCCTGTGACATAATATATGATCTATTTTTGAGAAGGATCCATGTGCTGCTGAGAAAAAAGTGTAACTGCTTGATGTTGGGTGGTATATTCTATATATGTCAATTAAGTCTAGGTTATTAATTGTGTTATTGAGTTCTATAGTTTCCTTATTCAACTTTTGTTTGGAAGATCTGTCCAGTGGTGATAGAGGTGTGTTGAAGTCTCCCATGATTATTGTATGGTGGTCTATTAGACTCTTGAACTTGAGAAGAGTTTGTTTGATGAACATAGCTGCACCATTGTTTGGGGCATATATATTTATGATTGTTATGTCTTGTTGGTGTATGGTTCCCTTGAGCAGTATGTAGTGTCCCTCTTTATCCCTTTTGATTAACTTTGGCTTGAAATCTATTTTATTTGATATGAGTATGGACACTCCTGCTTGTTTCTGAAGTCCATATGAGTGATATGATTTTTCCCAACCTTTCACCCTCAGTCTATGTATGTCTTTTCCTATCAAATGCGTCTCCTGTAGGCAGCATATTGTTGGGTCTTGTTTTATGATCCATTCTACTAGCCTGTGTCTCTTAATTGGTGAGTTTAAGCCATTAACATTTAGGGTTATTATTTTGATATGGGTTGTTCTTCCAGCCATATTTGTTTATTTATGTTACTAAACATGGTTTGTTTTCCTCTTTGATTATTTTTCCCCCCTTTACTATACTACCTCCCACTGTTGGTTTTCATTGTTATTTTCCATTTCCTCTTCCTGTAATGTTTTGCCAAGGATGTTTTGAAGAGATGGTTTTCTAGCTGCAAATTCTTTTAACTTTTGTTTTTCGTGGAAGGTTTTAATTTCATATTCCATCCTGAAGCTTAATTTCGCTGGATACACAATTCTTGGTTGGAACCCATTTTCTTTCAGTGTTTGAAATATGTTATTCCAGGATCTTCTAGCTTTCAGAGTCTGTGTTGAAAGATCAGCTGTTATCCTGATTGGTTTACCCCTAAATGTAATCTGCTTCCTTTCTCTTGTAGCTTTTAAAATTCTCTCCTTATTCTGTATGTTGGGCATCTTCATTATAATGTGTCTAGGTGTGGATCTCTTATGATTTTGCACATTTGGCGTCCTGTAGGCTTCTAGGACTTGGGATTCTGTCTCATTCTTCAAGTCTGGGAAGTTTTCTCGTATTATTTCATTGAATAGATTGCTCATTCCTTTGGTTTGGACCTCTATACCTTCCTGTATCCCAATGACTCTTAAGTTTGGTCTCTTTATGTTATCCCATATTTCTTGGATGTTCTGCTCATGGTTTCTTAACAGTCTTGCTGAGCTGTCTGTGTTCTTTTCAAGTTGAAATACTTTGTCTTCATTGTCTGACGTTCTATCTTCTAAGTGTTCTACTCTGCTGGTAGTATTCTCCATTGAGTTTTTAAGTTGGTTTATTGCTTCCTGCATTTCTAGGATTTCTGTTTGTTTGTTTTTTATAACCTCTATCTCCCTGTATAGTTGATCTTTTGCTTCTTGGATTTGTTTATGTAATTCATTGTCGAAGTGATCTTTCATTGTCTGATTTTGCTGTCTAATGTCTTCCTTGAGACTCCAGATCATCTGAAGCATGTGTATCCTGAATTCTTTATCTGACATTCCATCTGCTGCAGCTATTACCTCTTCTAAAGTTGAGTTGACCTGCATTGCTTGTGGTCCTTTCTTTACTTGTCTTTTCATACTGCTCGCGTTTCTTTCTGCTTGGTGAAACTGTTGTGTTATTGAAATTTTCCCCCTATATATTTATATTGCTCTTGTATAGTTGAAAAGTCTCCCTTGCAGGGGCGGGCGGCAGCTGTGCTCCTCCTCCAATTGGGGTGATCGGTCTACCACGCTGACGGGTCGCTGGGCCTGTTCTGCCGGTCGGTCGCAGGTCTGCCTACCTTGCAGGCTCGGGCGGCAGCTCTGCTCTGCCCCTCCTCCAATTGGTGTGATGTGTCTACCACGCCCGCGGACCCCTGGGCCTGTTCTGCCGGTCGGTGGCAGGTCTGCCTACCTTGCAGGCGCGGGCGGCGGCTCTGCTCTGCCCTTACTCCAATTGGGGTGACGTGTCTACCACGCCGGCGGGTCGCTGGGCCTGTTCCGGGCGCGGGCGACAATGCCTTTATTTTTATGTGATGCTGAGGGTCAGACCGGGTCCCGCCCACGCTAGGCGAGTGCTCTACCTCTGAGCCACAATCCCAGCTGATTTTTGTTTACATAGGAACTGACCCTCTCATAGAGAAGCACTAAAGTCCAAAATTGTCAGAACAACTAATTTATTTGTCTTCTATTATGATCTTTTATTTGCACGATAAAAATTCTTAGTACATTCTAAAAAAAAAAAAAAAAAGGTACATACCTGGAGTCTACTGTTTTATGATTCTATAGAAACCCTTTACACTAATTCATTATGTTCATAACCTTTTTGTTACAGCCCTGTGGTTTCAGATGTGAAACTTATAGCACTGGGCCCAGCACAAACTCAGGTCCCTGAACAAAGACAGTTTGTTACCTGTATATTGTGTCAAGAAGAACAAGAAGTTAACGTGGAAAGCAGGGCAATGGTCTTAGCAGCATTTGTTCAAAGATCTACTGTATTGTCAAAAAACAGAAGAAAATTTATTCAGGATCCAGGTAAGTCATAGCCAGGTCCTTATCCTCTTAATAATGACTACCAATTAATGTGGTTGTTAGTGTTTAGAGATTTTATTGATCTAACATTAACTCCAGAGGTATGGTGCTATCTTTAGCAGGTGAGTTGTCAGGAATTAACTTAGATAGATATGGAACCACTCTACCAGTTAAATATCAAGCCAGAAGCACACAACTGATAAATAGGAGAAATTCAAATAAAAGCTTTTCTTGTGATGTGATAGTAACATACTGTGGTATTTAATCGTCTTTCCTGTCATTCAGCATACTTATAAAGTCCATACTTTGTTGATACATTGAAATAATAGTAATTACTTTGTCTCATAGATAGAACCAGAGTGGATTATTGAGAACAGTGCTGTGAGTTACCTATGAGAGTAGCAAGCCTAGAGCCAGATTTGGACTTAGAATAGTGATATCTACCACAGAAAGGAGCATTTTGAAACAGAGACTACTGTGCAGGACTTTTATTAGGGAGAGCCTTGGGATCAACATCTTTAGAAAGAAAAGAAGCAGATTTGAGCAAAGTGAGACATTGAGCTATAATGTATTCCCCAAAGGGCCTCAGCCAGCCTAATGGGAGCTCTGGAGCCTGATAACCTATCAGAATTACCCTGAATTGGGGTGAGAAAACTGTATCTTTTACCCTAAATCTGATAAATGACTGGTTGCAAATCACCATGAAAGAGGCCCAGCCAGTTTTCTCTCAAAGATGGATAATAAATATTCTTCCAAGACTTGAAGGAGTATCATTCATTCCCACAGGGAGATCTGAACAGCACACCTTTATGTTTGTCATCTTTAGCTTGTTTACTACGTGTATATTCCTACGTGTGATAACCAATCAACTTTGAGAGTAAGAAACTGTCTTAGAAATTTCCAAAGCATTTCTTTAACCAGGAATTTCCAAATTAGGAATTTCCAAAACACTTTCACAGTAAAGAAGGTTCAAGAGCTCACATTGAAGAATAGAAGGTTAAAGGGCCCACTGGTAGGGTTGCAATCTCTCTACAAGCAAAATCTTCATAATGTGACTCTTGAAGCATCCCAGTTATTAAAAAAAAAAAAAAAAGTTTCATCTTTAAAAAATGGTTCTTTGAACTGTGTGCTTTATAAATTTATTCTGAGTCAAAGATAGAGTTCCTAATTTTGTTTAACATATTGCGAAAGAAAAGACTGGCTACAAGTGGATTTTCCAAATATTTTCACAGTTTATATCATAAAAGATTTTCTTTATGTTTTTATATTTTCATTGTCCTGATATATAAAGCATATTGAAACTCTAGTAATTCTTTCTAGAGTATTATGGAATTTTAGGGTTATATTAATATATATAGAAAACTCAAAAAACTCAAGAAGATATTTATCTTGTCTTCTCCTTTTGAATATAAAAATTAATACCCAGAACAAAAAATTCTGAATTAATTTTCCTTCTCATCTGATGTAGTATAAGCTTAGATAATTCTTTTATCAGTTTGGCTCTAGTACAGTGACTGTGATTATTATATGCATGAGTGTCTTCATAGGCAGAGTCTTCTAGGGAGCACCCTTTATTGTCAGAACATCTTTTTTATTAGAGTTCATTGTGACACACAGTCCCATGAAGACTAACCTTTTTACCTTGAGCTCAGGGCATGACGACATGATGGAGGGAATTAGAATCTCTGGATGCCCAAAGATTGAACATGTAGTCTTGGGAATTGGTTTCAGGAACCCCAATGGACACCAAAATTTTCACGCACTCAGGTCCCTTATACAAACAAAATGGCATAGTATTTGCATGTAACCAGTGTACATCCTTCTGTATACTTTAAATCATCTCTGGATTACTTAATTACCTTATACAATGTTAATTCTGTGTAAATAGTTGTTACACTGTAAGTTTAGGGAATAATGATAAGGAATAGTTTGTTTATCAATACAGGTACAATTTTATTTCCCCTAATATTTTTGTTCTCCTTTTGATTGAATCTATGGATGTGGAACTCAAGAATGTGGAGGACTAACTACTTAAATACAGAGTTCCAATTTCAGTTTGCAGATGGGAATGTTTAATTAATTTTCTCAAAGTGATGAAAATTAGATAGTTCAGCTTCCTAAATAATCCAGGGTCTTGAATAAATTATTGCTACCCTAAGAAAAATTATTGATAGCCTAAATGAAAGGAAAAAATTAGCATTTTATTTCAAGTTTACAAGTCCTTATCAAGGATTTCACAAATTTAAAGTTGCACATTTATTATAGGAAAACTAAATGCTTGGATTTTGTTGTTGTTTTGTTTTTGTTTGTTTTATAATGCAGAAAAATATGATCCATTATTCATGCACCCTGATCTGTCTTGCGGAACACACACAGGTAGCTGTGGGCACATTATGCATGCCCATTGTTGGCAAAGGTAATTTATATTCTTAATACTAGCTTATTTGAAGGTGCAAAATTGAATTTTTAAATAAAGGAAATTCCACTGTAGATGAAAATGAAAAAGAACTTAAGGTGTTGAAAGAAAAACTCCATATTGTTTGCCTAATAATGAAAGTGATTTGTTTTGTCATAGGTATAAAGGAGTTATTAGAAATTTCAAAGTATGTCAAATATATTTTTTTAGTGTAGTTTTATATCTGTCTCTTTGTTATCCCTCCAAAGAAGGGTGTAGATCTGTGTTAGGTAATAAACTAGAGGGGGGAAAAAAGGCTTTTTACAATGGGATAAGCTCTAGAAAAATAATTTTGTCTTTCCTCAGATCCAAGGTGAATAGCTCTTGATTCTAATGATGTTAGTCCTTACTTTATTACTCCCCAAGGTCTGTAAGGACTCCTATGTTAGGATGAGATAACACTAAATTTGTTCTACCTTGATACTTTCTATGCTTCTGAAAATCAACAAGTCAGTATTATTATCCTAGCACTGTGCTTACTGAGTTATCATGAACTGCCCCAAACAAGTCAGCCCTGTGGAAGTGACCAGACAGCCATCGTATCAGAAGTTTCTGTTGTTGCTTCTAAAGTACTTGTTTGCAAGTCATTTTTTTTCTTCCTGTTTTAAAACTGTCAATCCATTTTGATTGTTAAAACAACTTAAGAATTATAGTACCAGTGTTAAAATAATTCAGTTTATTTTTTAAGGATTTGTAGAAACAAATCCTTAAAATGTTGATGCTTATGACTTTTGTTGAAATAAATTACCATTTTTTTTTATGCCTCCTGTTCTCTAATTGTAAAGGTATTTTGATTCCGTTCAAGCTAAAGAGCAGCGAAGGCAACAGAGGTTACGCTTACATACAAGTTACGATGTAGAAAATGGAGAGTTCCTTTGCCCGCTTTGTGAATGCTTGAGTAATACTGTTATTCCTCTGTTGCTCCCTCCAAGAAATATTTTTAACAGGTAAGTTTTGGCTCATGATGCCTTAGAATAAAGCAATAGTTTGTTTTCAAGATAATAATAATAAGAAACTCTCCGTAGGTAATTGCATAATGTTTTCCAGGTACTTTCCTGGGAAATAAAATAACTTCATCTAGTTATTACTTCTAACAACCTATGGGTTATGATTTTGATTTTCAGGGAGGAACAGGCCAAAATTCAGGTTTCTTATTCACCCATAAATACTATAGAAGATATAAAATCTCTGTGTATTCATGAAAAATAAGTCTTTTTTATTTTTATTTTTTGTAGTTGTAGATAGACAGAATGCCCTTACTTTATTTTTTACATGGTGCTAAGGATTGAACCCAGTGCTTCACACATGCTAGGCAAAGTGCCCATAAGACTTTTTTTTTTTAATCTAGGCACTTTACTTTAAATATCTCCCTCACGTGTTATAAAAAATGCTCAGTAAAACTGGTAACATGAAAATCTGTTGATGTGTATGTCAGCTTTTCTCACTGTGTCCAAAATACCTAACAAGACAACTTAGAGGAGGAAACATTTATTTGGGCTCATGACTTCAGAGGTTCAGTCCATGGTCTGCAGGTTCTGTCTCTCTGGGCCCAAGGTGAGGTAGGGCATCATGGATTATGGATGAATTAGAGGAAAGATTTCTGTTCCTGGTGGTCAGGAAGCTGAAAGAGGAAGGGGCGCCTCAGGGAAGGTGAACTTTTCAAGGGCATGGCCCCAGTAACCCACCTCCTCCAGCCATGCCCCACCTGCCTAACATTACTACCCAGTTTGTCTGTTCAAACTGGGAAGGACTGATTAGGTTACAGCTCTCATAATCTAGTCATTTCACCTCTCAACATTGGTACATTAACCCAGGAGATTTGGGAGGACACTGCATATTCAAACAGTAACAATGTGTTTTGTTTTTATTTGTTTTTGTTGTTTTGAGAGGTACTGGGGATTAAACCCAGGGTCACTTAACCACTGAACTACATCCCCAGCCCTTTTTATTTTTTATTTTGAGACAGGATACCACTAAGTTTCTGAGGCTGGCCTTGAACTTGCAATCCTTCTTTCTTAGCCTCGTGAATTGCTGGAATTACAGGTGTGCACCACCACACCCAGCCTTAACAAGGTGTTTAAAATGGAAAGTTCCTGAGCCACCCAAGGGTGCCTCCTTGCAGGAAGATCACAAGTTCAAAACCAGTCTAGGCAACTTAACTAGACACTTTTAGGGTACTTCAATAGCAGTACTGGACATACTCATTTCACGTTAATTTGATACTGTGTACTATTGAAATCTGAACTTCATTTCTCAATTTAGAATTCTCCTATCTGCTTTATATGCACAAATACAGATTGTAAATATCTAATCTGAAATGGACCTACATGACACTTAAGAAATTTCAGATTTTGGAGGATTTAGATTTTGAATTTTCAGATTAGGGGTGCTATACATAAATATTCCAAAATCAGAAAATATCCGAAATCTGAAATACTTCTTTCTAGTCACAGCATTTTGAATAAGTGATATTCAACCTGTACTAATTTAAGTTTTATGAACATAAGTCATTTATTTCTGTATAATTATTTGCATTCAATTCAAAGCAGAGTCAGGTTTTTCTTTGAATTTTATGAGTTCACACTTTGACGTTTTAATCTATGCTACCACAGTAGGTTTCAATGTAAGCTGATGTGTTTTAATATAAAGGAATGTAGTGGTGCATATTGACACCTTCATTTGAACTAATAAAAAATTAATCATTAAAAATGCTGGGGAGTGATATTGGCCAAATTATATTGTTATATTGTGTGCATGTACAAATATATGAAACAAAACCCATCAGTAGTACAATTGTAGTGCACCAATAAAAGAATGAGGAAATAAAGAAATTAATCACTGGGCTAGGAACATAGCTCTAGTGGTAGAGCACTTATATAGCATGTGCAAAGCCCTGGATTTAATCCCCAGCACCACACATACAAATAAATAATAATCATTATGATTATAGATTTACTGCATATAGGGAGAAATCACACTTGTTGACTTTCACCTGTAGTTTTGGTGGTTCCGTTTTTTATTTTCTTATCCCATGAGAGTCAAGTATGTTTTAGTTATAATTGAAGACAGTAATAATACAAAAAGAATACAGTCTTTGGAGTCTAACAGAACTGAATTTGAATGCCACCTTGTGTCTTGTGGCCTTATTCAAGTTACATAGCTCTAAACCTCAGTTTCCTCATCAGTAAAACAGAGACAGTAATATATAAATGTGAATATTTGAGGATTAAATCTAATACAGTAAAGTGCTTTTGCTAATAGCTTGTCACATAGTGAGCACTTAATAAATATTAGTGGTATTGATTATGATATTTAAGAAATTCCAGCAAATTGCAGCACTGAAAAAAATAAAGTTTTGTTTTGTTGGTACCAGGGATTGAACTCAGGGGCATTTAGCCACATTCCTAAGCCCTTATTATATTTTATTTTGAGACAAGGTCTCGATAAGTTGCTGAGGCTGCCTTTGAACTCATGATCCTCCTATCTCAGCCTCTCAAATTGCTGGGATTACAGGCATGCACAACTGCATCTGTCTTGAAAGTAAAGTTTTAAACAATGTTATTACCACCTAATGACCTTAATGTTTTTATTTCCATTGACCAGTCAGGGATTTTTTTTTTTTTTTTTTTTTTTTTTTTTGGTATATGGACATAATATCTTTATTTATTTATTTCTATGAGGTGCTGAGGATCAAACCCAGGCCTCACATGTGCGAGGCAGGCGCTGTACCACTGAGCTATAGCCCCAGCCCTATTCAGGTTTTTTTAAGGCAGCAAATTTCCTCTTGCCTTTAAAAAAAAAAAAAAAAATTGAAATGTGTCAAAAGTACTTACCTGTGATGATTTAAGAAGTCTTTTGTATATTTAGTAACTACAAATAAAGTACTAAATGTTCTCTATAATCTTTTCTAGCAGGTCAAATTTTTCAGACCAACCAAATCTGAGTCAATGGATTAGAACAATATCTCAGCAAATAAAAGCATTACAGGTTCTTAGGAAAGAAGAAAGCACTCCCAGTAAGTTCTGGTAACCCATTTTCTTTATTTTTTTCCTCTGAAGTCTGAAATGATTGGAAAATATATTTTCAGAAGAAATCATTTAAAAGAGAAAGATTCCATTTAAAATTTTGATTCATTTTAATTTTCTTTGTCTTGACAACTGAATTTTATCTTACTGCGTTACTTTTCATACCTTAAAAATATACAAGCTCATGGGAATTTATGGAAAATATTTCCCACTTATTCCATTTTGTCAATAATCTTCTGGGATGAAGGAGATTATTAAAAAGCTAACTGTAGTTCATGGTGGGCTTTATTGTTAGCTGCATCAAAGGCTCCCCAAGTTTCATAGAAGGTGCACTGCACTTATGACTTTGGAGAAACAATATGAGCAGAATTTATATCATTGGTTTTCACAAAAACAAAATAGCATATTCTTTTGACTCTATCACGAGGAAAAGCCTAAGTAACTGAAGAAAGTACCTCATTCAACCAAAGCAATGGTATTTTTTCATGCTTTATATGGATATTATGCCAGTGTTTATTAATGGAACATTTTTTTCCTGGTTTTTGTTTTTGTTTTTTGCCTACATGACCGAAACATAGAAAAGTGTTGCGATCTATTAAATAATGGTATAAAATGCCTGTTTCTATAGATACTGCCTCTTCAAAGAATTCAGAGAATATGGGTGAATTACAGCTCCCTGAAGGGTTCAGGCCTAATTTTCATCCTAAGTGAGTATATTATTTTACTTCTTTTATATTTAGTCCATTTGGAATTAAGTCAGCAGGTAGTAGGAATATGATTTGGCAAGCTAGAAAGCAAATGTTACAGAATACGGATCTTGAATACTGATCTTGAATTCCAGGATGGTATTTGTTTCAGTATATTGGAAAAAAAAAAATCTAAACCATGTGGCATGTTTGACTCTTATCAACCTCTTCTATTTTGCATTGCCAACTTCCTGCAGTTTCCATCTAAGGATCCTTGATATCTCATCAGGACATATAACTCCACAAACTACTCAGTTTCCCCACTAAACTTCTGACTTCCATGTTTCTACTATGGACCCATAAAACTCTTAGTAACCCAGGATCAAAATCAGTATTTTCAATCCTGTTTTTACCCCATAGCCAATTAATTACAAAATGTATAGATTTTTAACTAGACTAACTTGGTTCAGTTCCCAGCACCAATGCTTGTTAACTGTAACTTTAAGCAAATTGCTTAACCTCTTTAAACCCCAATTCCCTCATCTGTAAAGTAAGGATGACTCATAGTTATTATGAGGGTAAGGTGACATGCATGTATAACCACCTGGAATCTGTCCCTGGTGTTTACTAAGTAATTCAATGCATAGAGAATTGAATGGCTTTAATAGGAAACAAACATCAGTCCTCTATCTCCCATGCTCCTCTCTCCACCCCCAATTCTGTCATTTTACTTGTCTCTTCTAGTATTTACCTCCATATTTCTAATTCAACATTATCTTTCTGTTGACTGATAAATTATATCATATTTTGGTTAAATCAATTGTCAGTATTTAGAACTGTCTCTTCTGATATAAGTTGCATATTGTATTTCCTTTTGTCTTTCCTATAGTTAATAATTACCTTTTCCTGTACTTGATTTTCTATATGTGTGTGTGTGTGTGTGTATATATATATATATATATATATATATATATGTATATGTATGTATATATTTCTAGCTGTTTTTGTTTTGTTTTGTTTTGTTTCTGAATGGTGCAATTGGTCTGTCAGAAGCCTGGCAATTGAGTTTATAACTGCTCAGACCTATCATACACTCTGTCCTGGACCCCTCCCCCGCACAGCTTCACAGCTCTATCCTCCTGTACCATTCCCCCTGGAGCTTTTCCCTGATCATGCTCCTCTTGTTTTCTAGATCATATATCTTCATCTTTCCTTACTCCCTCTGAACTGATAGATTCTTCAGAGTCCCAAGAAAGGATACCTAGATGTTAAATTTTCATGTCTGAAGTAATGTTTATGTTTATTATTATTATTATTATTATATTTATTTTTTTATGTGTAGATGGACACAACACAATGCCTTTATTTTTATGTGGTGCTGAGGATTGAACCCGGGTCCCGCGCGTGCTAGGCAAGCAGTCTACCGCTGAGCCACAATCCCAGCCCCAGTAATGTTTATTATATCCATAAGCTTGATTGATAATTTGTGTGTGGAAATCTAGGTTAGAAGTAATATTTCATCTAGATTTTGAAGGCATTGTTTTTCTAACTTCTAGGATCCATTGAGAAGGTAATGCCATTATGACTTCTGTTGCGCAACTTTATTACTTCTAGAAACAGTTGGGACCTTCTGTCCCCAGAGTTAAATTTCTCTGACATTTCTTGTTATGTGAATCTTTTTTCATTTATTTAGTTGTTTTCAGTAAGCCTTTTGAATCCAAAGATAGGTGTCTTTATTTCTGAGAGTTTTTTTTAATTGTTGTTTGTACTTTCTTAGATAATTTTCTCCTTTCATTTTCTGTTCTTTGAGTAGTATTACTAACAGCTCACCATTATCCTTCTTAGATTGATCCTCTAAATTCTTTTCGTATTTATTTATTTATTTATTAATTACCAGGAATTGAACCCAGGGGCACTTAAACACTAAGCTACATCCCCAGCTCTTTCTTATATTTTATTTAGAGACAGGAAGTTGCAGAGTTGCTTAAGGACTAAGTTGCTAAGGCTGGCTTTGAACTCGCAATCCTGCCTCAGCTTCCAAGCTGCTGAGATTACAACTGCCTGGCTGATTTTCTTTTAACTTATCTCTGTTTTCCCTGATATCTTCTTCTTCTTTTTTTCCCCCCTGCTTGTTTTGATTTATCTCTTTGATGTTTTTAAATGTTAGTTGATCTTTGACAGTAAGGAGGTCATTGGGTACTTGATGGATAACTTAGAGCTTGTTGACTTGTGAGCCTCACAGCCAGGTGATCAAGCCATCACTAGTCTCAGTTGTGTAGAACAACTTGCTCCTTAGAATTCTTCACTGGAAAAAGCAGTGTGTGGCAGTGGGTATGCATCACTGAAAGAGGGCTAAGGGCCCCATAGTTCATTCTGTAGACTTTTGTCTATTGCCTTGTTTGCAACTTTATTCCTCCCAGCTGCTGACCCAAAGAGCAAAACTCCTCTCAGGCAGGGACAGTGGGACAGTTTGCTGTCCCAGATTATTCTTTTACATATAATTATCTCTAAATACATGTTAAATGGTTCATTTCCTATATGGGAAAGAGCGTTTAAGAAACTGAACTGTTGGGGGATGGGAATGGGAAAGATAGTGGAATGAATCAGACAAAACTTTCCTATGTTTTTTTTTTTAAATATATTTGTTTTTTAGTTGTAGTTGCACACAATATCTTTATTTATTTATTTTTATGTGGTGCTGAGGATCAAACCCAGGGCCTCTCATGTGCTAGGCGAGTGCTCTACCACTGAGCCCCAGCCCCAGCCCAACTTTCCTATCTTCATATATGAATACATGACTAGTGTAACCCCACATCATGTACAACCACAAGAATGGGAAGTTTTATTCCATGTATGTGTAATATGTTAAAGTACATTCTACTTTCATGTATAACTAAAAAGAACAAACTTTTAAAAAATAAAGAAACTGAACTCTTTCACTGGGCACAGTGGCACACACCTGCCATCTCAGCAGCTTGGGAGATTGAGGCAGGAGGATTATAAGTTGAAGGTCAGCCTGGGCAATTCACAAAACCCTGTCTGAAAACAAAAAATTTTTTTAAAAAGAGATGGGACAGGGGCTGGGGATGTGGCTCAAGCGGTAATGCGCTCGCCTGGCATGTGCGGGGTGCTGGATTCGATCCTCAGCGCCACATAAAAAAATAAAATAAAGATGTTGTCCACCGAAAACTAAAAAAAATAAATATTAAAAAATTTTCTCTCTCTCTCTCTCTGTCTCTCTCCAAAAAAAAAAAAGATGGGACGTAGCTCAATGGTAAAGCACCTCTAAGTGTAATCCTTGGCACAAAAAAAGAGAGAGAGAGAGAGAGAAAAAACACTGAATCATTTTTATTGATGTATACAACTTATTTTGAACTACTATGTATATATCCATTTCAGGAATCCTTATTCTGAGAGCATAAAGGAAATGCTAACAACATTTGGAACTGCTACTTATAAGGTGGGACTAAAGGTTCATCCCAATGAAGAAGATCCCCGGGTGCCCATAATGTGTTGGGGTAGTTGTGCATACACCATTCAGAGCATAGGTAAGAGACTGATGGTCATTTCTCTTTTAAGTCACAAGCATACATTGATAGGAATTCTGTGTAGAGTCCTGGTTTTCAATGAGGTGTTAAGAGTAGACAAAAATATGGAGAAATAATAAGTATAGTAAACTGACACAATGCTAATTTGACACTTTAAAAATTAACCACAGCAACAGAATGGGTTTTGGTGGCAGTTACATTACAGTGTCTTATAAACTGAGGGAATATGGCTTTATTTTTACTTTTCATATGAAATTCTTATGAAAGTCTTAAAGATTTCAAAACCTGACAATATTATGCTTTCTAAAGAAAGGGTTGGTTTTGCACTTTTTCAATGATCATAACAAAATGTATGCATAGCAAAATTATCATCTTAATCATTTTTAATCTGCAGAAAGAATTCTGAGTGATGAAGATAAACCATTGTTTGGTCCTTTGCCATGCAGACTGGTAAGTTCTGAGTTTATTCAATTCAAAGGATGAAATGGAAAGTAGGTGGTTTACTTCTTTTAAACTTAAAAACCTGAAAGTTTTTTTAACCGTGCCTTGACACCTTTTTAGAGTAAAATCCTTTGTTTTTTTGTTTTTTTTTTGGGGGGGGGGGGTAAAGCTATCAAAGAAGTAATGTTTGTGACTAACTTGTGTGTATGTGTGTTGCTGGGGATCAAACTCAGGGCCCCAGGATGCCTGGCAAATGTTCTACAACTGAGCCACATCCACAGCCGCCCATTATTTAACTTTTCTTGATATTTCTAGAAGTAAAAATGAATTTCTAAAGTAACTATAACTCTTTTCATCTGAATCTCTTGCTTAATTAAGCACTTGAAAAGATAAAAAGAAACTAAAACCAAGAGTGCATGTTCTTGAGGTATTCAGTGCTGTAATTGGAAATAACAGAACACACCCTTTACCACATTTGGCCACTTTTATAAATAAATGACATATAAGTAAGTACAAATTCATGTTGAACTGGGTATGAATAAAATGAGGAAGGGAGTACAATCATGGCTTGCTAATATTTACTCTGTAGCTTAGTGTGATAGTGTTGTATACTGCTTGTTCAAGCTTATAATCATAAAAATGCCTTTGAGAAAAAATTATCCAGTTGTATTCATTTAGAATCACCTGGGAAGTTTTGAGAAATACCAGGCTCTATTCTAGGTCACTTAAACAAGAGTCTCTGGAGATGGACCCCAAGCATTAACATTTGTTTAAAAGTTCCCAGGAGCCAGTACTGAGGACCTCATCAAGAAACAAAAACCAATGTAGAAAATATAGTTGTCAGTCATCACCTGTTTAGTTTGCTGGCTTTGTTTTCATTGCAAACACCTAGAATCTCAGAACCTTTTTTAAGGTTTTAGGAATACAGATTTTGCATTAGATGTTCTCTGCTATTATTGGGCATTAAAACCCTCTCTTGAAATTTTAAAAAATATAGAAAGTTAGCCCCCTTCAGACTTATTAATTAGAATATTTAGGAATATTTGTTTTGTTTTTGTGGTGTTGGGGATTGAACTCAGGCCTTCTGCATGCTGGGCAAGTGAACTACCAACTGAGCTATATCCTAGCCCTTTTGGAGTAGAGTCTGAGTTGTATCTTTATGTAAATCAGCAGAATGGGGAGTTCACATCAGTTTTTTTTTTTTTTAATAGGTATAGATGTATGCAGTACCTTTATTTGATTTACTTATTTTTATGCAGTGCTGAGGATCGAACCCAATGCCTCACACGTGCTAGACAAGTGCTCTACCACTGAGCTACACCCCCAGCCCCACATCAGTCTTCATTAATGTGATATGATTGATATGACTATCAGATCATTGTTGACTATAAGGTATTTTTTACTGTAGTATAAGAATTGATAGGGCTGGGGTTGTGGCTCAGCGGTAGAGCACTCACTTAGCATGGACGAGGCCCTGGGTTCAATCCTCAGCACTGCCAAAAATAAATAAATTAATTAAAGCTATTGTATCTAACTACGACTAAAAAATAAATATTTAAAAAATTAAAAAGAATTGATAAATATGTTGACTATTAAAAAGGCAATCATAAGTGTATAGTACAGAGTTTGTCTAGTTTTATTCTGTTCATATTGTTTTATAATAATATGTAGAGTGTCTTAAGCAGACTTCTGAGAACTCTTTTTTTTTAATATTTATTTTTTAGTTGAACACAATACCTTTATTTTATTAATTTTTATGTCATGCTGATGATTAAATCCAGGGCCTTGCACATGCTAGGCAAGTGCTCTACCGCTGAGCCACAACCCCAGCCCCTTCTGAGAACTTCAAGCTTTATCTTCCCTGGCATACCTCTCAGAGCCATATGCTATAAATTAAGTATCTCTTTTCAGTGACAACTACCACCTTCAGTTGTCTCCTTCCTCCTTTTCTTCCTTTTCCCACCTGCAAAGCTTTAAGCTTCTTGTGAGCAGAAAGAGAGTGAGTTTTCTTTTCAGTGTTTATTGAGCCAAACAATACAGAAAATTTGAAAAATAGAGAATAAGCAGGGAGAAAAAGAGCATCAACTTCACCCCTGTCCACATTTTTTTTTTAAAGAGAAAGTGAGAGAGAGAATTTTTAATATTTATTTATTTATTTTGGTTTTCGGCGGACACAACATCTTTGTATGTGGTGCTGAGGATCAACCCGGGCCACATGCATGCCAGGCGAGCATGCTACCGCCTGAGCCACATCCCCAGCCCAATGTCCACATTTTTTTATGAACATATTTATACTTGATTATTATTTTCCTGTAGTTTTGTACCGGTTGTATTTTTCACTTTCAATTAAGAGTTTTCTCATTCTTGCTACTTAGTCTTTTTTTTTTTTTTTAGTTGAACATGGACATAGTACCTTTATTTTATTTATTTTTATGTTGTGCTGAGGATTGAACTTAGTGCCTCGCACATGCAAGGCAAGTGCTCTACTACTGAACAACAACCCCAGGCCTACTACAGTGGGGAGACGGAGGCAGGAGAAGCTGAGCAGCTCGCCCAGGCTGGGGGATCCAGGGTCCAGAGCCAGGTGTTCCCGGGCTCCGGAGCCTGTCCCTCTCCACACTACTTAGTCTTAAAAACAGTTTTTTGTTTGTTTGTTTGTTTTTGTGTGTGTGTGTGTGTGTGTGTCTGCCTACACCTTGGTTTGTGTATACATCTTCTTGTACAGTTTCCCCAATATTTGAAGTATTTCCTATACTTTGGAGTATCTTTTTAGAATAAATATGAGGAAATACGGCATCAGCTTCTTGGGAGAGTTTGTTGCTGGCTAGCTGTTGATACATGTACTGGTATTCTTTTCCGGAGAGAACTGGCAACATGATGGCAAGGAAATGACTCTTTTTTGGAGGGGTGGAGGAGGTGGTGGTGTTGGGGATTGAACCCAGGGCTTTGTGCATGCTAGGCAAGCACTCTACCAACTGAGCTATTTCCCCAATGAGGAGATGACTCTTTTTGATACCATGGATTAAAACCCTGGGTTGCTTAACCCCTGAGCAACATCTTCAGCCCTTTTTCTACATTTTATTTTGAGACAGGGTCTCACCAAGTTTACTTAGGGCCTCAGCTTCCCCAGCTGCTGGAATTACAGACGTGTACCACCACACCCAGCAAGGAGATGACATTTGTTCATTCAGGATATAATTAGATATTTTCCATACTGTTCATTCTGCTAAAGACATGTCATGAACTAGTTGTGGTGCCATATGCCTGTAATCCCACCTACTTAGAGACTGAGGCAAGAGGATCAAAAGTTTGAGGCCAGCCTGAACAACTTAGCCAGACCCTGTCTCACAATGAAATAGAAAGGTCTGGGTGTCACTTTCCTATAATCCCAGCTTTACAGGAAGCTGAGGCAGGAGGATCACAAGTTGGAAGCCAGCTTGAGCAACTTAGAAAAACCTTGTCTCATATTTTTTTTAGAAAAGGGCTAGAGATGTAACTCAGTGGTAGAGCAATTGCTTAGCATGTGTGAGGCCCTGGGTTCAATCCCCAGTACTACAAAGAATAAAATAATAAATTAAGATGTCATAGATTCCTTTTCCTACCATCTATAGCGATGTCATTGTATATACAGGTGGGCTTTGAATTAGCATTTCTGAAAGAAGAAGGCTACATCTTTTGTTGACTTTTGATAATTGTGTCAATTTCTTTATTTCAGGATGACTGTCTCAGGTCACTAACAAGATTTGCAGCAGCACATTGGACAGTGGCATCACTTTCAGTGGTACAAGGGCATCTTTGTAAACTTTTTGCATGTGAGTATTAATATGTTTATAATATATGATATGGAAATGTCTCATCTGAAATTTTGTTTTCAGCTGTATAACTTCTCAGAAATGAAATATTTGGTAGTACTGTTTTTGTTAAATGTGAGCTCTGGCTCATTAATTCATATATAACTTGCAAAAAGATAAATTAAAACTATGTTTTATGCCTTTTAACATACGTTGGCATATGAAATATGCTAATGAATTCTTTTTCTTTAAATCTGTAGCATTGGTGCCTAATGATAGCTATGAAGACCTTCCATGCATATTAGATATCGACATGTTTCATTTATTGGTGGGTATTTTGCAGTTTGTTAAAGTTCTCTTTATTGTTAACTTTACCTTTGGTTTGGTGAGTAGTATGGAAGCATAGAGAAGGTGTTATCTATCATATGCTATTATTCTTAACTTCTCAATATAATTTTTTTATGAGGAGCCTTGGAAAGAAAATATTTGGGAATCTAGTTGACAGACTTGATCTGGGTATCTAGACATCCTCCTTCTCTTATTTTACTCTGAGGCTGAGGTCATTAATTTAGCCTGTCTGTGCTTTTTACATATAATAAAGAGGTAAAAATAATAGCAGCAGCCTAAGGGCTACTGCTGGTTCATAGAGTTTTTTTGTGCATTTTAGCAAATCTGTCAGATACAATCCTATGGTTTCACTGCTTAATGACAGACAGTTCCTTTTTATGATTCAGGGAGAGAGACAGCTACTGAGCAAGTGCAGTGTGGTACCAGGACGCATAGCTGGCCAAGCAGTAGGTGGCCAGATATCAGCCCCCACCTCAGGTGGGTTGCCTTGCACAGGTTCCAGAGTGCACTGTCACATAGTGCAGCCCAAGTGTTGTCCCCGTAATCTCTAGATTCATCAGTATTTCAGAACTTCATGGGTTAATCTATATACAGATTATATTTTAAGGACTATAGACACATTTTAAGGAATATAAACCTAAAATGTCAGCTGTTGTTATTATTTCCACTGCTACTGCAAACACCATTGTTGGCATCACCATACCAGCAGCAGGGGACTAGCATTTATTGTGTACCTACCTGTTTTCACATACACTCAGGTTTGTCCTCAATCCCTACTATTGCTTTATTCCAAATTTCTTATCTCAAGTTTACCAGTAGAAAAACTGATGCTCGGAGGTGTTAAGTTGTCCCAAAGCTCATACTTTTTCCACAGTTTCCTCCCTTGAAAAATTTCAGGTGTTTTATTTCCATTAATAATAAGCTTTTTGTGTCGGGCAGTGGTGTAAGCCTGTAAGTCCAGTGGCTCAGGAGGCTGAGGCAGGAGGATTGTGAGTTCAAAGCCAGCCTCAGCAATTTAATGATACCTTGTTTTAAAATTTTTAAAAAAGGGCTGGGTTGTAACTCAGTGGTAAAGTGCTTCTAGGTAACCTCCCCTGTAACCTCCCCTGCCTCCATCCTCATCCCCCCAAAAAAGCTTTCTTGAAGGGCCTAAACTCAGAAGGGATTATGGTAAGAAAATGGGAGTGTGTTTAGCTGTGAGGAAAGGCACTGACTGATGTTCTGCATTGGTGTCTAGGTGGGCTTGGTGCTGGCTTTCCCTGCCTTGCAGTGTCAGGATTTTTCAGGGGTCAGCCTCAGCACTGGAGACCTCCACATTTTTCATCTGGTTACTATGGCACACATCATACAGATCTTACTTACCTCATGTACAGGTAACTCTTCCTTTTTGTCTTCTTGAATTTTCTCAGTTTAAAAAATGTTAGAGGAGGGCTGGCTCAGTGGTAGAGTGCTCGCCTAGCACATGTCAGACACTGGGTTTGATCCTCAGCACCACATAAAAATAAATAAATAAAATAAAGATATTGTGTCCATCTGTAACTTTAAAAAAAATTAATACTAGAGGAAAAAGTATTTTGGGTGAGAATATATAAATTAAAATTGGGTTTTGTGCTTTTTCTGTTTATTCTCATGTAGAAGTTTTGAAACAAATTTCTTTCTCCTTTTAAAATCCCCTAGCAATGTAAATGTTTGTACTTTTGTTTTATTTCATAAGTTCATCAACATATGAGTACCAAAACAGTGGAGCCCCTTAGAATTTTACGTTTAAAATGCCCCCCCCCTGTTTTTTTTTTCACTCGTATGTTTGTTAATCACTGTTAAGTCATGTATTACATTCAAACTTCCTGGTTTTTCATACCTTTAGGATGATACTTTAGCTGATTTCATCCATAGTATGTCAGCTGGCTTGCTGATCTGGTGGAGATCAATAGAGTGCTCACACTTTGAAGGATTAAAATTCTGTATAGTTTGTGAGAATACTTTGTTATTTGTGAGTGTACAAATATATTTAAATGCTTAACCTATGTGATCATCACTCCATTTGACAACACAGTAGGAAAATACAGAGTGCTAGTATTTCCTTATCTTTCAGAAGAGAATGGCATGGATCAAGAAAATCCCACTGGTGAAGAAGAATTAGCAGTTCTTGCTTTGTATAAAACCATTCACCAGTATACAGGAAGGTGAGATTATAATCTTTATATGATTGACTAAATATTAGTAGGGGTCAACATGAAAAAGGAATGTATTTGTTAATTAGGAGAAATTGCATCTATTAACATGTTTTAAAAGAGAATAGAGACTACTGCAGTGGCATACACCTGCAAACCCAGTGGCTCAGGAGATTGAGGTAAAAGGACTAAAAATTCAAGGCCAGCCTCACAATGTAGTGAGATCCTTTCTCAAAGTAAAAAGGGCTGGGGGTATATAGCTCAGTGGTAGAGCACTCCTGAGTTCAGTCCCCAGTACCATACACACACACACCAAAAAAAAAGAAAAAAAAAACAAAAAGAAGAAAAAAGAAAAAGACAGGAATACAATCTCTAGCACTATGGGTATACTTATATAATTAGAAATATCTTAGAAAAGGGTAATCGTATATAGTGCTTCCCACATTTATTCGTCCGTGGAGCCCTTCATTTTCCCGGAGGATCTCACTCACAGAGTGCTGGATAGATGTATTTTGGAGAGATACTTTTCTAAAACACACATGATCACATTGGGAATTTGAATGCATATTTAACTAGCTTGGTATGTTTTTTTAAGGTAATATTCAGCAGTAGCAGGAATAATGTGAAATTATTAAAACATCACATGATGTTGGAGTTACTGTGATTTGGTGCAACAGTTTCACTTAGCTTTTAACTCTGTATGTCAAGAACCTAGGGCGGGATATAGCTCAGTTGGTAGAGTGCTTGCCTAGCCTGCCCAAGGCCCTGGGTTCAATCCCCAGCACCACAAAAAACAAACAATGAGAACCTATAAAATGTTTGTTCTTTGACTACAGTGTCTCGTTTCTGAGTATCTACACTAACAAAATAATCCAACATATAGAAAAGTCTATAAGTATATAAAGACATATATTTTAATACTATTTACATTAGCCAAGAATTGAAAATAATCTAAATGTTTGCATATGGAGGAATAGTTTGGTGTAGGTTATGGTTAATGCATTTCAAAATATTACCAATGTAAAAAAAATATTGCCAATGTATTAAAATTATGGCATGTAGTGTTCTGGAAAGCATGTTAATCTTAAATTTCATATGTTACATTTATAATTGTATGAGACAAATTCGTATGAAAATAGTTTGCTGGCATGATACCTACTGGTAGAAGATGCTGGAATAGTTGATGGTTTTTCAATTTCCAGACTTTTTTTATGTGGCTATGTTACTTTTGTAAATTTTCGTAGCAGCATTGGAGGCTACATAACTAGTTGGCATCCTGTCATAGTCAAAGTTACTACTACTAGCCTGTTAAGCCACTCCTAAGCATATATGTTCTGTTTTCACGCTGTGCTTTAACTAGAATGATCTTTTCTTACTAGATTTCCTAATAATCATTTTCTGTTGTAGTGCCTTGAAAGAAATACCTTCTGGCTGGCATCTGTGGAAGAGCATCAGAGCTGGGATCATGCCTTTTCTGAAGTGCTCTGCGTTGTTTTTTCATTACCTAAATGGAGTTCCATCCCCACCTGACATTCAAGGTAATGTCTCATTTCTTTTCAAATGTAGGAAATATTTGTACTCTTTTCACAGTTTAGAATAAAGCTGACCATGCCTGTAATCCCAGCGGCTTGGGAGGCTGAGATAGGAGGATTGCAAATTCAAAACCAGCCTTAGCAATGGTGAGGTGCTTAGCAACTCAGTGAGACCCTATCTATGTTCTTGTCTACTTTTTATTTGAATCTCATTAAATGTACTTTTAAACTTCTGTGTAAATATTTTTGCATTTGCAAGCACTCCCATAAAGACTGTAGTTCTCCTTTCAGGTATTAAATTGTTTGATTGTGTGGTTCAAAACTGTGTTCCTCAGATTTTAAAAAGTGAAACAATTTTATGTGGTTTTTAATTTGAAATGTATGGCATTAAAATTCAAAATACCATAACTGCACATAAATTTGATTTTAAGGTGGGAATTCATTTGCTCTTTCAGTTGTTTTCTATGTTCTCTTTTAATTTATTTAATAAAAGTAGTATAAGTGTTCATGTAACTGTGCTCTGATAGTACCTGGCACTGGTCATAGGATGCCTGCATGTAACTGTCTAAAGGTTTTTTGACAGGCGTCTCTATTCTTTCAGTTGCCCAGGCACCATTTAGAATAATCCAAAATATTTATTTATGATTAGAGTTAGTATTTAAGGTCATCTCTCATGATACAATCACTTTAATTTTAAGTTTTTTTCTAATTTTTTAATTCTATTTAGATATACAACATGAGAATGTGCTTTGACATATGATACATATACATGGAGTATAACTTATTCTAGTTAGGATCCCATTTTTGTGGTTGAACATGATGTGGAGTTGCACTGGTTGTTCATTCATATATGGGCATGGGAAAGTTATGTCCCATTTATACTATTTCCACACCCTTCCCTTCATTCCTCTTTGTCTAATCCAGTGAACTTCTATTCTTCCCTGCCCTTATTCTGTGTTAGCATCTGCCTAATAAAATCACTTTATATTTCTGTACTACTATAAACTTTTCCAGAACACCATACGTTATTTTTGTCATTTAAGGTTTACAGTAACCCTCTGAAGTAGATTGTGCGAGTGCACTGTTTTCCAAATGTTTTATATAGCTGCTATGCCAGGAAATTGTGACCAGTCTTTGTAGGAGTCACCTGATTCTACTGTTCATTGCATCATTTTCCATAAATCCCTTCCATGTGCCATTCTGTTAACCTACCAGTTCTATACCTAACAAATATGAACTCTCAGATTTTACTTTTTTTAATTTTTTTATTTAAAGCTCTGCTGTTGCTTATTCCCATGCAGAATGTTGTTTTATGATTATTCTTTTCTTCTACATTTGCAGTTTCTGGACTAAGCCATTTTGAACATTTATGTAACTACCTTTCCCTACCAACCAATCTCATTTGCCTTTTTCAAGAAAATAATGAGATAATGAATTCACTGATTGAAAGGTAATGATTATACATGATGCTTTTCTTCATTATATTAAATAGTTATATGAAACAAACTAATTTTTCACATATATGGCAAAATTCTCAAATAGTGAGCCAATAAAATTCAACACATAAAATTTGTACTATAAGATTTAGTACTTTTTTATGCTGGGCATGGTGGTGCACACTTGTAATCCCAGCAGCTCAGGAGGATGAGTGGGAGGATATAAGTTCAAAGCCAGCCTCAGCAAAAGCAAGGCACTAAGCAACTCAATGAGAGCCTGTCTCTAAATAAAATATAAAGAAGGGCTGGGGATGTGGCTCAGTAGTTAAGTGCCTCTGAGTTCAATTAGTACATTTTAGCTAAGTATTTGACTTTTAAAAAGGATAAGGTTTTTGCCAGGATAATGAATAAACATAAACAGATTTGCATGGAAAGGGAGTCATGGTAGGAATGCTTTTTTTATTTTGAGACAGGGTCTCATTGAGCTGCTGAGACTGCCCTTAAAAATGTGATCCTCCAGGGATAGGATTGTGGCTCAGCAGTAGAGTACTCGCCTAGCACATGCAAGGCCCTGGGTTAGATCCTTAGCACCACATAAAAATAAATAAATAAAATAAAGGTATTGTGTCCAACTACAACTAAAAAATAAATATTAAAAAAAAATGTGATCCTCATGCTGTAGCCTCCGAGGATCACAAACATGCGCCATTAGGCCCAGCTTGAAATGCTTATTTCATTATGTGAATTTATTTGTTAAGGACTCTGTTCCATAGATTTTTAAAGCTAAAAGAAACATTAAGGATTGTCTTCTAGTCCAGATTCTCACTTTGTGTTTGAAAACATTGAAGTCTAGAGGAATTGACCTATCAATCCCGTGAAGTTAGTGACTGAGTTAAGATATTTGCCTATTCTACCCACAAAATGTGTAAATCATAAATCTGATAAGAATGAATAGCCATGCTGGGTGTGGTGGCACATGCCTATAATCCCAACAGCCTGATAGGATGAGGCAGGAGGATAGCTGTACTGTCCCAAACCCTTTCCTCTCTCCTCCCTGCCTAGGGAACAGCTATGCGGGTGGCTGGCGCCTCTTACCTTTAGCCTGGATTTCCACTCACACTGAGGGACAGTCCACAGCCCACCCGCCCTCCTCCTTCCTTTGGATTCCTCAGCCTCCCAGAGACCAGTCCAAGTCACCTTAGACATGCTCCTGGTTCTGGTAGGCTGAGTCAGGAGGATAGCAAGTTCAAAGCCAGCCTCAGCAAATAAGTAAGGCACTAAGCAATCAGCAAGACCCTGTCTTTAATAAAATGCTAAATAGGGCTGGGGATATAGCTCAGTGGTTGAGTGTCCCTGAGTTCAATCCCCAGTACCGCCCCCTCTCCCCCCCCCAAAAAAAAAAGAAAAAAAGAATTAATAGCCAGAACTCCTACAATTGAACATTATTTAAAAATAATAATTCGGGCTGGGGTTGTAGCTCAGCGGTAGAACACTTACCTAGCATATGCAAGGCACTGGGTTCAATCCTCAGTACCACATAAAAATAAATAACTAAAATAAAGGTATGAGCTGGGGTTGTGGCTCAGTGGCACAGCACTTGCCTAGCATGTGTGAGGCACTGGGTTCGATTCTCAGCACTGTGTATCAATAAATAAAATAAAGGTCCTGGCTGGGGATGTGGCTCAAGCGGTAGCGCGCTCGCCTGGCATGCGTGTGGCCCGGGTTTGATCCTCAGCACCACATACAAACAAAGATGTTGTGTCCGCCGAAAACTAAGAAAAATAAATATTAAAAAAAAAATTCTCTCTCTCTCTCTCTCTTAAAAATAAATAAATAAATAAATAAATCAAATAAAGGTCCATTGACAACTTTAAAAATATTAAAAAAGAGAGAGATCATTTTTTTAAATAAATAAATAAAGGTATTGTGTCCAACTACAACTGAAAAAATTATTTTAAAAAGAATATTTTATTTTTTTAAATGGGCAAAACACATAGGTATTTTTCCAAATCAGATACACAAGTGGCCAATAAGCATATGAAAAGGTACACTTAGTCATTGTAGAAATACAAATCATGAGCACAGTAAGATGCCACTTTATGTCCATTAGAATAGTGTTTTTGTTCTTTTTTATGAAGAGAAAATAAGTGTTGGCAAGGATGTGGAAAATTTGGGATCCTTGTGCATTACTGGTAGGAACAGAAAGTGATAGGGCCACTATGGAAAGTAATATAGCAATTTCTTAGAAAGTTAAAACAGAATTGCCTACCATCCAGCAATTCCACCCAAAGGTGTTTATTGAAGAAGAGTTGAACTCAGGCACTCAAATAGGTACCTTCACATCCGTGTTCATAACAGCATTATTTATCATCACCAAAAAGTAGAAACAACCCAATGTTCATCAACAGATGAATAGATAAACAAAATGTGATGGACACACATACACAGAGGAATGTTATGGTTGAACCTAGAGGATACACTATGCTAGGTGAAGTAAACCTGTCACAAAAGGACAAATTTGATGATTCCATTTTAATGAAGTACTTAGAATAGTCAAAGTCATGAGATAGCAAAATGGGGATTTCCAAGAGTTAGGGAGATGTTTAATGGGCAGAGTTTAATTTGGAAAGATGAAAATGTTCTGGAGGTACATGTTGGTAGTTGCACAATGGTATAAATGTGCTTAATACCACAGAACTGGTACATTTTAAAGTAGTTATTGCAGGTTCAAGCAGCCTTGGCAACTAAGCAAGATCCTATCTCAAAAAATTTTTTAAAAAGACTGGGGTTGTAGTTCAGGGCACTCCTGATAGAATACTTAAAAATATATATGTGTGTGTGTGTGTGTGTGTGTGTGTGTGTGTGTGTGTGTGTGTAAATCTTATTTATAATCTTATGTATGTTTTACTACAATAAAAAATGTTTAATATAGGTCTTGTAGATTCAGATAATATTATTTTGTCATTATTTAAACTGGTTTTTCTAGAATGTCCATATTAGTAGGGTAATTAAAAGGGCTGCAAATGTAGCTCAGTTGTAAAGCACTTGCCTAGCATGTGCAAGCCCTAGGTTTGATCACCAGTACCACCAAACATACAACAACAAAAAAAGGTATATAGTGCAAATTTCAATATATTAACCATTCTTGCTTTTAAAAAATATTCTTCTGATTTTAAAAAGTTGGAGGCAAAATGGGATATTTCTCTAGGCTTCTTTCTTTTATTGCAGTTTTTCTTTTTCTTTCTTTTTTTTTTTTTTTTGAATTTTTAAGTTGTAGATGGATACAATCTTTATTTATATTTATTTTTATGTGGTGCTGAGGATTGAACCCAGTGCCTCATGTGTGTGAGGCAGGCATACTACCACTGAGCTACAACCCCAGTCCTTATTGCAGTTTTTCTATTGATTCTTTTTATTATACATGACAGTAGAATCCATTATAATATAATTATGTAAGCATGGAATATTTCTTATTCCAGGCTTATTTTGATGAACTAAATATATTATGTAAAGATAATTTTCCTTTTATTGGCTATAAAAGAAGGAAAATTCTAGTTCTAACCCTTTAAATTTTTTTGTTTTGTTTTGTTTTTCCCTATTTACATTAAAGTTGGTGTCATAACAGTGAAGTTAAGAGATATCTAGCAAGTGAAAGAGATGCAATAAGGTAAGTTAAAGATGACCAAAGACTTGACTGGGATGGATGGTAGGGAAGACATGCAGGGTGTATTATATTTTTTCAAAACTGATTTCCCATAACTTTAGTGATTCTAAGAAGTAGAGTATCCTGCATTCATACTTCCTTCTAAATCTAATGATGAGAGTTTATTAAATGCAGAAATAAGAACATAAATATACTTATTATTCTAGATGAAAAAGAAGATAGCAGAATTATTATTTTGGAATATTCACTTTAAAATGTAGGTCCTCTTTTAGGTTCTTCTTAGCTGTTTTTTTGTGTATCTTTTATTGTGGAAAATTTTAAACTATCTCAAAGTATAAAGAATAGTATAATGAGGGAAAAAAAAGATTTGGGACATTTTAACTTTAAATAAATATTTAACTATCAAATGAAAAAGGAAATAAAAAGAATAGTATAATGAGGCTCCATCCACATGCTTGGCATCTACCTTCAATAACTCAAATCATGGCCATTTTTATTTTTGTCTTTAATTCATTCCTTTTTGCATTAATTCTGTTTGATTTTGTAGTAAAGTTTGCTTCTGCACTTATGCCAGCTGTGCTTCATCTGTTAATATTTCCTTTGTTCTGCTTAATACATCATCCATAAAAATAAAGAGGAGTAGATTATTACTTCTATTCATTTGTTTCTACACATCCAAAAATGATAATACCATATGAAAATTTCTAGTCAAGCCATATGAAATTCAAGATTTTATAAGTCAGAAATGGTTTAATATTATCAATTTCTTATGGTTCAAACTGATAGTCAAGAAACTCTGAATATATAGACTTGAGGTATAGATACCAGAATAACCTTGGAACTTTTTTTAAAATACTGAAATAACTATCTATCAAATTTAATTTGTCTCAAATTGGAGCTCTAACATATTTATTTCCCTAGAACTCCACCAGATGATTCTGGTCGGATCAAGAACTACTGTCTGTAAAGTAATTTCTCTTCAGTTGAAGTTCACTCCTTGTCTTTGCAGTAGATAAAGTAGTGAACAGTTACACCATGCTGGGCGGACATGTATGTGTGCACATGGAAGCTTCTCATACTGGGAGTGGACCCTCAAATACCGGTTGGATTTGGATCTGAATTTTTTTAGAATAAACTTGAAACACAGAATCAACATAGCTTGGTATCTCTAAAGAAAACGTGTTTGCTCTTCTGTTGCTTCCTGTGTTCCACTCATTTCAGCTTAACATCACCATTAATAAGGATACCCTTCCTGCATTCAGTATCCTAAGTTTGGTGATTGGGCTGTCCATTACTGTATTGTTTAGGTAGAAGCTGAGAATGAATATCTTCATCTGCCCCTATCCTCCTTTCTACAGCTACCTTTTTGCTTAAGTGGTACAGATACTAAGTACCATTGCTGCTGTTCTGAGCACTACAAGTAAAAAAATGTGAACCCTAAGACACTGTGTCATGAATACATCTTTGGTTTCTTACTCTGGCCTATACCACTATGATGACATGTGATTACTCAGATTTAGTCTTCCTTTATTTGTTTTAACTAAGTTAAGAGTTATATTGTCATTATAATGTGACCTTTTATTAATTGATTTTTAAAATTTGTGTGTTTACTTTAGCTATCCAAGAGAATCTAACAAATTAATAGACCTTCCAGAGGATTACAGCAGCCTCATAAATCAAGCATCCAATTTCTCGTAAGTTTTGGTACTAGAACATAAAGCATTCCCTATCACTGGAAAAATTTACCTTTCTAGAAAGAATTTGAGGGATTGGTTGTTCTTTGTTTTGTTTGGGTAAGAAAATCATAACATCAGAAATACTTTATATTACCTAATTTATAAAAGCACCATTCTCTACCATATTTCAGAATAAGATACAGGATATGGGGTGGTAGGGGGCAAGTTTGATTCACAAAAGATTATCAAATAATTGCACTCCAAAGTAATAAGAGCCCTCATAATTCTTAATATATTATGAAATATTGGACATATAAGCAACTTGAAGAATCCAATAATATAAAAAAATTAAACATGTTTCAAGCTTTATTAAAATGGCATTGTACTGGGGCTGGGGTTGTGGCTTAGTGGTAGAATGCTTGCCTAGCATTTATAAGGCACTTGGTTTGAATCTCAGCACCATAAATAAATGAATGACTAAATAAATAACCATCAACAACTAATTAAAAATTTTTTTTTAAACTTTAAAGTGGCTGAGGTTGTGGCTCAGCGGTAGAGTGTTTTCTTAGTACGTGCGGGGCACTGGGTTTGATCCTCAGCACCACATAAAAATAAAATAAAGGTATAGTGTCCAACTACAACTAAAAAAATAGTTTTTAAAAAAAATTTAAAATGGGCTGGGGATGTGGCTCAAGCGGTAGCGCGCTCGCCTGGCATGCGTGCAGCCCAGGTTCGATCCTCAGCACCACATACAAAACAAAGATGTTGTGTCTGCCAATAACTAAAAAATAAATATGAAAATTCTCCCTCTCTCACTCTCTCTTTAAAAAAAAAATTTAAAATGGCATTGTACTGTATATACTCCACATAATTTATCACTAGGCATTGTTTCTAAGATTTATCCATGTGGCATAGAACTTAAAGTCATTGCTCTTCTCTGTAGTATTTCATTATTTGACAATAGCACAATTAACTTACAATTTTCTCCTGTTGATGATTTTATTTATCCTTTCTCCGATTTTTGATTCCTTGAGTGTTTCTCATACATGACTTTTGTGTATATATACATATGATGTCTCCATTCCCTAGTCTAGGGATAATTTGATCTGGGTTACAGGATGCATCTTTGGCGCTCCACTTGATATTATAAAACATTTTTCCAGGGTGGTTTTTTTCACTATCAACTCTTTTATCACTCTTTTTCAGAACAATGACTTTCTTTTTTTCCCCTGTGGAGGTGCCCCAAATCAGGTGGTGATAAAAGCAGAGCCCCAACTCTGTGCCTTGTATGTGGAACTCTGCTGTGCTCCCAGAGCTACTGCTGCCAGACTGAGCTAGAAGGGGAGGATGTAGGAGCCTGCACAGCTCATACCTACTCCTGCGGCTCTGGTGCAGGCATCTTCCTGAGGTAAGGACCTGCCGGGGGCATTATAGCTTTGGGTCTGCCTCTTATGTGCTTTTTGAGGTATTGGCACAAGAAATTACGACATTGCAGGACTGGGGATGTGACCTTGTGGTAGAGTAATTGATAACATATCATATGTGAAGCTGTGGGTTCATTCCCCAGCACTAAAACAAAACAAAACAAAAAAACAAATTAGAACATTGCAGAGAATTTCAAGACCACTGTTGTCTTATTGTTTGAGGAACATAAGGATCTCTTATGTCTCATATTTGGTTCCTGCCAACTCTTGTTAGTATTTCTCTTACTATTCCCCTCTTCCACCCTCACTCCAGATAATAGTTTTGTTCTACCTTCTTCATGCTTCTCTATGATGTGGAACTTCCAACTGTTTCTGTTTTTCTGCCCAAATCCAGTCAGAACTACTTCTTCTATTATGTCCTCATAACTTTTTGATTTTACCTCTGCTCGTGCATCATAAACTGGTATATGTAGTTCTGTTCATTCAATAGCATACAACAAATACTTAGTAACTACTATATAGTGGACATGGAAAATACAGCAGTCAGGGGCTAGAGCAGTGGCTCAGAGGTAGAGCACTCGCCTAGCATGCGTAAGGCAATGGGTTTGATCCTCAGTACCACATAAAAATAAAATAAAGATATTGTGTCCACCTATAACTAAAAAACAAAAATTGTAGCAGTCAGCAAAGCAGACAGATGTATCTACCCTGGGGCCAGGGGTGTAGTTCAGTGGTAGAGCATGTGCTTAGCATACACACGATCCTAGGTTTGACCCTCAGCACTTCACCAAAAAGATTTTTTTTTTCCCTTATGGATCTCATTTTCTAATGAGAGAAGAATTTATAGATAGTTGATATGTTATGAAGAAAAAGTATAACAGAGAGGAGCATATGAAATGCCTGCTGGGAAGTTGAAGTTTAGCTACTAGAACAAGGACAGCTCTCTAAGACTGTGACTTTTGAGTAAAGACATAAAAGGGAGGAATACCTAGTCAGGGAATAGCTAGTCGACAGTGCTGAGTGGGAACACTCCTGCCATGTTCAAGACAGGGAAACTGGTATCACTGGAGATTTGTGCACAGGAATATAATCACAGCTTGATATGTCCTAGTGACATCTCTGAAAGAGATGGAAGCCGTTTCATGGTTTGAAGCAGAGAAGAGTCATGAGTCTTAGCTCCTCTGGGGATTAGGTTTTATCCATATCTAAATCATCTTAGTATCTTCTTAGGGCCCTCACAATTTCTTATACGCAGCAGATTTCAATAAATGTTTGTTGAATTGAGCTGAATTATTAACAACAACAAAGAAAAAGAAAAAAAGAAAGCAAAAGAAGCCCTAAGACAAATCTTTCCAAGGGATAAGGAGACCAATTTTTAAATAGCCAGTGGGAGAAATGTGCAAGTAATATTTTCCCTTGTGAAAGTAGTACAAAGAGTGTTGCCTTGCATCAGTGTTTGCACCCAGTTCTTTAAATGAATAATTTCCTCATCATAATGGTTAAAGGCCAGGTGCAGTGGCACAACACCTTTAATCCCAGCCACTCAGGAGGCTGAGACATCAAGAGGATCGTGAGTTCAAAGCCAGCCTCAGCAAGGCGCTAAGCAACTTACTGAGACCCTGTCTCTAAATATAATGCAAAATAGAGTGATCTGAGGATGTGGCTCAGTGGTTGAGTACCCCTGAGTTCAATCCCCAGTACCAAAAAACAAACAAACAAAAAACAATATCCGTTTTATGTTTAAAAGTTTACTATCTTCTCACATTTAACAATTTTTAAAATTGTGTTATTTGATCCCTCGTTTCCTATCCCTCAGTGTCTTTATGTGGATTTGCAATACAATCTTTGTTGATTATAATACAGTCTTTGTAGCCTTATTAAAAACTCAGGCATATAACTTTCCTATGTACATGTATAAATACACAACCAGTGTAACTCCACATCATGTACAACCACAAGAATGGGATCCTAATTGTAATGTTATACTCCATGTTGTATAATATGTCAGAATATACTCTACTATTATATATCTAAAAAGAAAAATAAATAAAAAATAATTTTTAAAGAAACTCAGGTAGATGGGGGTGATATTTTTTAATTATATCTTTGCTGTAGATGCTATTTCTTCTAAAACTGGATTTATTTGTTTTTTTAAAAGACCTCGTTTCATTTGGAACTGAATCCAAACCTTGGTTAGTAACATAAATGTGTAACATATGAATGATTTCTCTACAGAGTACGGGAATGTCAGGTGCTATTTTTAGCTGGCAAAACCAAAGGCTGTTTTTATTCTCCTCCTTACCTGGATGACTATGGGGAGACAGACCAGGGACTCAGGTAAGGGCCTGTCCTGGGGGGCTGGGTAGCAACTCTGGGCCTCAGGGCCTTCAGTACATGGCGAGCACCATGAAGTCAGCTTGCATACCCCAGGGTTGGATTCTGGAAGAGATGTCTATGTCATCTGTGAACTCTTTTCTAAGTAGAGGGCATCCTAGCTGCCTGGTTTATTGTTCTTCCAGCCTTGAAAATGCCATGAGAAACATCAGGATAGATAAAGGAACAGAAGAAAACATAGTGTAACTGGATTCCATCTATCATTCCAAAGCACCATTTGAATTACCACATAGCATCCACAGCAGCAGAGCACTACAGGGATGGCCCGTTCTGATTTGTTGAGCTGTGTGTAGGGGAGACCAAGGGATCTCCAGGTGATATAAGAACAGAGTTTAATTGCTAAGACATGTGCTTGTCTTATTACATAAGAATCTGAGGAACAAATATTAGAACATACATAAAAAGATATAACATCATGTTAGGCTTATCACTCTATTCTGGTGGCTTCTAGTATATCATATAGCATTTTAGCAAAACGCTAGCAGTTCACCAAACACTATTAAAGAACTTCTTTTAGATTATCTTTTTGGACCAAAGAAGGTAAAAATTTTAGCCCAGGTATTACCATTCAGGCTTGAGTAGCCAAAGTTAAAGGCCTGGAAACACAGGCAAGGTAATTAGAAGAGCTTGCCCAGGTGCTTGGTGCAGGGTTTGACTATATGCTACTAATGACAGTTCCTCCCACTTCTCTGAAGAGGATGGGCACCTAGGACCTGCCTTGAGGCCCTGGGCCGAGGTTGAAGCCACCAAAGCCTGTAATTTAATGGCAGGCATTAAATTAGACCTGGCAGGTATTCACATTTGGCTACTATAATGAGATTGTGAATTGTGAAAGAGAGCACTCTGGGGAACATTTTTACCACTCTAATTCTCCTTTCCCACCCTCCTCTGCCCTATTTCCCTTTTTACATGTTACCCACAAAATGGACAGTGAGTATTTTAGCCTCTCAACCCAGACCTGTGTCCCAGCCTCACCCCTCATCAGCTGCTATTAGCAAACCTTCAGAGTAAATGTGTTTGTTAACAGCTACAGTTACCTTCCAGACAGAAATTTGACCAAGGATCGAAAACCAATAACTTGTACCTTTCCCAAACCAGGAAGGATTAGATTGTATTGGGTGAATAAACAGAATGCATCCTGAGTGACACGTGTCTTCCTTCTAGACGGGGAAATCCTTTACATTTGTGCAAAGAGCGATTTCAGAAGATTCAGAAGCTCTGGCACCAACACAGTATCACAGAGGAGATCGGACATGCACAGGAAGCAAATCAGACACTGGTTGGCATTGACTGGCAACATTTATAATCACTTCATTGCCAAAAACATGAACTTGGAGTTTTGTAACCCACTTGGCTTTTCAAGAAAGAGAATAGGAAATAAGTTCAGCTGAATTTTGAAATAAATTCTTTATTTAAGCCTTCCTGCCCAGTTTTATCTTTGTAGTTTTCCAACTCCAGGGACTGATGAAAATCATCTTCCATCAGCAGATTTTCTTGCACTGTGTCTGCCCCTCAAATGCCCTGCCTTGGGTTTTAACAGCCAATGAAGAGCTTCCCTTCCCGGACTGGAGCTCAGCCTCTGTGGGAGTCTGACCGCATCAGCTATTGCCAGTGGCCTGAACCATTTCGCATATGGAATCTGGTGAACTCTGGGGCTGGTGCTTATTCGGCAGAGGCAGTCAGTGCCCATCCAGGTCATACTTCCTGGCTCCTCTAAGTGACTCAGGACTGGGACTGGGTTGGTGTTGCCCTCTGCTGACTGGACCCTACCTCTAAAAGCAACATAGTTGATTTCAAAGGCAGGATTCCCTCCTCACTGTGGACTGAGAGAAGGTTGAGGAACATGCATGCTGAAGGAGCACACAGAGAGGAGTGGTTTCCTACTATGCTGGCTGATTTTTCACGGATATCAGAGGTTGAGGGTTTTTGTTTGTTTTTCCTATTTTTAGCTTTGAGAGTAAAACTCACTAAAAGGGCTTTTTGAAAACTGAAAGAATCTAATTTGTCAGACAGTAATTTTATCTATTCTTTTTAAGGCTAAATGGAGAGAATATATGCATCTAGAATCATACACTAGCAAAAAAAAAAAAAAAAAAAGAAAAGAAAAAAATACTCGGTGTTTTGAGTTCCCCACCCTGTCCAGCATTCTCTGGAATACTGATTTGCTGCTTACCTAGTGGCTTACTTAGTACATTCCTGGGATGCACCCAGGCTTTTTATTCCTTTTAAGTATCATTCTTACTAAGAGGTGCCTTCCTAGAATGACAGCTGCTCAGTAAAATGGCTTAGAACTCTTTTCTTTTTTGGGGGGGAGGGGCGAGAGGGGTACTGGGGATTGAGCCCAGAGATACTTTACCACTGAGCCACATCCCCAGCCTTTTTTATTTTAAGACAGAGTCTTGCTAAATTTCTTAGGGCCTCACTCAATTGCTGAGGCTGGTCTTAAACTTGTTATCCTGCTGCCTCAGTCTCCTGAATTGTTGGTATTACAGGCAGGCAACACTGCATCCAGCTAGAACTCTTACATACCACACAGTTACTCACATTTGATACAAGTGTGCTGAGAGCTTGGATACATACTAAAAGTGACATGGATTTAGTGGAGGAATAGATCTTGCCTCTCTAGGGTGGGGCTAAGGAGCAAATGAATGACCAGAGGCTCTTCAATTTTATAACCAATGCAAGTAACCCTGTTACTCAGCATTGCATCAGCAAGTTCCATTCCACTCATCTGTGCACGCTCCACAGAATTCCCGAGAGGAAGGTCAGAAATCCAGACCTGAGACTAAAGTAAGAGAAAATGCAGAAGCCACATCTCTCTCCAAAGTTGTTTGTAAAGGAACCACTTCCTTTTGAAAGGTTGGCCTTAAAATTCTTTTGCTTGCAGTTGGCCCACACAGTAAGCAAAGATTCAGCGGGAAGAAAATCCAAATTAGAATCCATCTCTCTCCTACATTTCCTGGCCTTTCTTTGATTTATACAGTCTGATTGTTTGGGCTGTAAATGGCATAATTTAGGTTTCTTTTGGTCTTTGACAAATGGTTTCTTTCGCTTTTAAGTTTAGCTTCTTTTTTTTTTTCCCCCCATGTGTTTACCATACTTGGACTTTAAATTATAAGACCAGGTTTCTCCCTTTAAGTGGATTATAAACTTTTTCACCAAATCATAACAGTGCTCCAGCTTTTCAGGCCTGACTTCATAGAAGCCTGGAGTTAGCAGAATTTGTGTCCCTGGATTCTATTCTCTGAGAAAATCAAAGGGTCTGGAAGAAGATGAATTTACATGAATTTGCAATGTGCACAACCTTTTATTTTCTGATGTTAAGTTAGTTGTCTTCCCTGTCTTCCTTACTTAACAAAGCAACTTAGTTTTATTTGTTTCGCATGTTTTATGTTTATTGTAGAAATGTTAATATAACATGCTTTCCATATCAGGGAATCATATCTGTTTAATAAATTGGGTATAACTTTAATATCTGTGAACAACTTGTAAAATTTGAGATGTATCATATGTAAAAAGTTTAAAGATAACCAAATAAATGCTTTAGGTGTTGACATTACTTTGGATTGGCCTACATCTTCTTTTTGGTTTTATTTCACACATTTAAATGTCATAGCAGTGCTTCCTATATCACATTGCTGCGGAAGTGGGACTTCTGTATTAGCTTGAAATTTAAGAGGCTTATATTATTAGTGTCAACTATGGCTTCTAGTCAAGTCATTCTGACCTTCCCAGAGAAAGCTTAAGTCATTATTTCAGCCAATTAAATTTTATTTGCATTGTCAATGACAGTTTGACTTTTCTGGACCCATTTCAGTCCTCAAATTATTAGGACAACAAGGCACTTTGAGACCTGTCCCAGGTTTCAACTCTTGCTCATCCATATCTGGTGGTCTCCAGCTTCTTATCCTTACACACTTGCCAGACACTTTATGCTTCTGAGACATATATAGAAAGGAAGTGTCTTTCTAAATATTTTTTAGCTGTAGATGGACACAATACTTTTATTTATTTATTTATCTTTGTGCGGTGGTGAGAATCAAACCCAGGGCTTCACGCATGCTAGGCGAGCGCTCTACCACTGAGCCACAACCCCAGCCCCAGGAGGTGATATTTTTTAATCATAGGAGAGCCCTTAGATATGAGGCGTTCTGCTGTGATTTTCAGAATCCTCTTAACAGGAAAGTGTGAAACTAAAACCTTCCCTGCCTCCTGGTTGGTAAAGCTGCCCCAGCTACTCCCTGCCCAGTGTAGTTTTTAGTTCCAGGACTCTTCAAGCCCCCTCCGGTACACATCTTGCTCTGTCCCTACTCTTGTTTTTCCAAGCAAAGTTTATTGAAGGTATTTTACAAACAATTAAGAAATAGAACTGTTCCATCACCCAAAAAAATTCCCTGGTGCCCTTTTGTAGCCAGCTTTTCTTTATGTTCCGATTCTGGCTCCCACTAATAATCTGTCCCTCTGTGCCTTTTGTCAGATGAGATACAAATGGAATCATTGTATGTAGCTTGTTGAGTCTGTTTCTCTCACAAAGAGTCACCCATGTTCCTTTTATTTTGATTGCTGAGTACTATTTGGTTGTATAAATGTTTGTACCGTTGCCAGGTAGTGAATATTTGGTGCTTCTGGTGATTATTCACTGATTACTACTACATTTATATGTGGGTTTTTGTGTTGACTGAATTCTCATTTCCTTAAGAAAATATCTAGGAGTTGTCCCTTCTATCATAATCCCCCACTTGACAGTGTCCTTGAGCATGCTATTCTCTGATCTCTTTAACTTGACCATCCATACCTCATCCTCTGTTTTGGAGGACAGGATAAAATGCCACCAAGAATTAAGGATTGATGTTTCCTCCCTTTTAGCCAAAACTCTGTCCACTGAGAACCAACATGGGCATCCCTTGTCTTCTTGGACTAAGACAGTATTCCACAAATGAGGCATGTTGCCCTCCAGGGCTGATTTTCTACCCAGTAGTGGGTAAGGGGCCCTAGTTGTCTTGGTCCCTCACTGCCTCAGCTAAGATGCAAACCTGCTGGCCTAACTTGACGGATACCCAGACAAAGAGGGGAGGGGAGCGTGTCAAACAAGAATCTAATCTTATTAACTATATTGAGGTTACACAGGGTTTTATTTGCTGGCGGCTCATCCCTGGGCTTGAAGCATTGTTGACAGAAGCTATGGGTTCTTGAGCTGGGGCTACAAATTCCAGGATATCTGGCTTCCTAAATATTCAGTATTGGAACCCATTGCCTACTAATTCCCTAAACAGTGATTTAAAAGTAAAAGTCTAGACTGGAGTTGTGGCTCAGTGGCAGAGCGCTTGCCTAGCACACATGAAGCACTGGGTTTGGCCCTCAGCACCACATAAAAATAAATAAATAAAATAAAGGTATTGTGTCCATCTTCAACTAAAAAAAAAAAAAATTTTTTTAAAGTAAAAATCCGGGGCTGGGGATGTGGCTCAAGCGGTAGCGTGCTCGCCTGGCATGCATGCGGCCCGGGTTTGATCCTCAGCACCACATACAAAGATGTTGTGTTTGCTGAAAACTAAACAATAAATATTTAAAAATAAACAAATAAATAATTGCCTTTAAGGCAAGATTTAAAAAAAAAAAAAAGTAAAAATCCTGGGCTGGGGATAATAGCTCAATGTTAGAGCATTTGCCTTGCATGTATGAATCCCCGAATTCCATACCCAGTACTGCAAAAGAAAAAAAAAAGTAAAAATCCCAAAGCCCTGTCTTCACCTCCAACTCCACCCCAGAGCCAGGCTGACAACTTTAAAAATTGGCTGAGTCCTTTGGGAGAAGTGAATTTACACTAGCCCTAGGAAAGACTGAAGTTATACACAAGAAAGAACCTGGGCTGGGCACAGTGGCACACACCTATAATTCCAGTAGCTGGGGAGGCTGAGGCAGGAGGATTGCAAGTTCAAAGCCAACCTCTGCAGTGTTGAGGCACAAAGCAACTCAGTGAGACCCTGTCTCTAAATAAAATACAAAATAGAGCTGGGGATGTCGCTCAGTGGCAGAGTACCCATGAGTTCAATCTCTGGTACCCACCCCCCCCCAAAAAAAAAAAACCTGGTACCTGAGTCTTACTAGACACTGATAGGTGACCAAAAGGAATGGACCAGGTTTCTCTAGCAAATACCTGACTAATTGAAACCTGTTCAATTTTTAAATATGCTCTGAACCAACTGTTGAGATTTATCAGGGGGTCATGACCCTTGATGCTCCCAACACTGTTTCAGATTCTTGGGTTGCTCACATCCTCCAACAAGTTGCTCACATTACTTGTCCCCCTGGAGGCTCAGATTTCCCTGTTTGGGGAACTATATTATAGGCAAGGAGATGGGGGTAAAAAAAGATTTGGATTTTATTTTATTTTTTTTTAAACTGTACTAAGGATCAAGCCCAGGCCTACCACATGCTAGGATGGCACTGTATCACTGAGCTACACCCCAGCACAAGGTTTAGAACTTTTGCTTGGGCTGGGGACGTGGCTCAAGCGGTAGTACGCTCACCTGGCGTGCGTGAGGCCTGGGTTCGATCCTCAGCACCACATACAAACAAAGATGTTGTGTCTGCCGAAAACTAAAAAAAAATAAATATTAAAATTTAAAAAAAAATAGAACTTTTGTTTAAACACTAAGTCAAAATGGTACCTAAGACATGTTGGTAACAGTGATTGATAACCTCTTGTATTCTTTAATGAATGCTAACTAGTGTTGGGTATTCTGGCATACCTGCTATTGATGAGTTAAGATAGTCGTTTAACAAAGCACAATTTGTACCATAGTTTTTAATATGTTACACAGCTGTTGACAGCATAGATACATATATGGGCCTAGAACAGCAGTTTCATGATGGTTCTCGGCACTCCTGAGAGACAGCTGGGAGCTCCAGAGCTCAAGGGCCCTCACCAGAGATGGCTGGCTGACTCAGTGTTTTCAGAGTGGATCCTTCCTTGGTCTCAAACTTATATCTATGTAAGCCTGGAACCAAAATTTGACAGGGTGTCCAAACATCTTCTGATCTGAGAGAATTGAATCCCAGACATAGCTCAGACAGCACCAGTAATCTTAGTCTCTATACTAAAGTTCCTAGAATAAACCCCGACTGGGTCCAAAGTAACCTATTACCAACACCATTTCTTGGTCACAGCAGAGGTAAGTTAAAGGCTGTTCCCCTCTGTCTTCTACCTCCTGGCTTTGATCTCTAGCCAGGTAGGAATAAACTATCTTGAATGTTTATCCAACTAGCAGAATTATGCTGGGCCCTTCTGTGATCAGGTTCCCCAGGGGTCTGGAATGCCAGTAAAATTGTGCTCTCCTTTCCCTGAAGCTTTCCTGTTTCCTAAAGCAAGTGAACCCTTCTTATACAAGTGCTAGCTCAGGAATATTGGCTTCTCAAAGAATCTTTGATGCAGAAACATTCCAAAAATATTGCTTTGCAGGATGGATATTGGGGGAGAAACTCCCAGACGACTCCTTGCCCTCCACTATATTGGTCCATGGGGGATGTCACAGCCACCTGTACAGGTGTCCCCGGGTCCACCAGAAGGTGAGGCCTGACCTCCAAAGGGGTGAATTCTTGTCTGATAATTGCTCCTCTTTCACAGCAGGGCAGTAACCTAAACCAGGACTTCCTAGGGATGAGCTGCAGGTATTCATTTAGCACTTTAGGGTATTGCTGGAACATGCTGACAGCCCATGATTTACTTGGTCTAAGTGATAGAGCATGGGAATGTAACAGAAAAGCAGGCCTTTCAGTGTGTTTTTGGTGGGAAATAAGCTCCTACCTCAAAATTCTTTTGCCCCACGACTGAATTCCTATATAGAGGAATCAATGCTTTGGAGAGTCTAATACCCTTAGAAAAGGGTAACTCTCCCCCACCTTCTGGCATTAAACAACAAAATGACCTGTCAATCTTGGCATTAAAAAAAAAAAAAGCTGGTCGTAGTGGCATACACCTGTAATCCCAGCGGCTCAGGAGGCTTCGGCAGGAGGATTGAGTTCAAAGCCAGCCTCAGAAACTTAATGAGGCCCTAAGCAACTCAGTGAGTCCCTGTCTATAAATAAAATATAAAAAGGGCTAGGAATGTGGCTCAGTGGGTAAGTGCCCTGGGTTCAATCCCCATTATCTACACCCCCACCCCACCCCCAAAACGGCCATTATATTCTTCAGATTCCTGTATGCATCAAGTGATGCTTTGGATTTAAAATAAAGCAACTTGGAGCTCATAACAGCCAAACTAAAGGAGGAGCAGCACTCAGGTGTGGTCAATACCTAAAGATGTTGAGACTGGATTAATGTGCTAGGAGAAGCATAAATCCTGGCTAGTCATCACCAGAGAGGCCGTGAGTCCATCATAAGGGCACATCCCAGGGCAGGGAGCCTGCTGGGCCTCATTTATTCACATTTGGAGTCATTCAAAAAGTGTTTGCCACACACTTTGGGGACCCTAAACTTCTTGTCTCCCAGAGACAAGAGTCTCTGAGAGGTGGCCAGCCTTCTTGGGAGATCAGACTTTCAGTTGGACAAGGGAGGAATCCGCATTTCCTGGAGTCCACTACTCCGTGTTCAGGAGGGGCAGGGCAAGGGCCATCAGCCAGCCTCAGGGGCCTGGCCTGCATCTGCACCCTCAGCTTCCACCTGGTTGCCCTTGCCCAGCTTTTTCAAGCTCTCCAGAAAGGCCTTCCAGGTCTCAGGTATGCTCTTCTCCAGCAGCCAGCCCTCACTCTCACACTCAGGGTCCTCGGGATTGGATACACCTTCCAGTGCTGTATGCAGATAGCGCAGCCCAACTGTGACAGTTACCTGGTGAAGAGAGAAGACAGGAATGAGGGGCAGGAGCTAGGAGTTGGGCTAGAAGGAAACCATGGGTTTTCCACCAGTCTGTGCCTCCCGGAGTAGTGCTCAAACTGAGGGGGCACCCTGGCTCAATGTGTCTGCCTCTAATCCACACCAAATCCTTTCTCCCCTCTGGGTCTGTACCATTCATTGTTCTCTTCCCAAAACATTCACCTTACCATTAATTCAGCTTCAACCCTTGGAGAGCTCCCTTGCTACTCCCTCAGTCCTGGGTTACTTTACCATGATGCCCTCCACCCCATTCCTAGCACATTCCTTGGCATGTATTGAGTGTTTGGTAATCATTGAATGTCAAAAGACACCTTTTCAGCAAACAATAGGATGTGTGGTTTCTCTTTATTACTGTTATTTTGATTAGTGTGGCAATGAATGGATGCTAGTAATGGGTCATTTGGATGTGGCAGACATTGGTGCCAAACGCCTGGGTTAGAACCCCAGCCGTGGCACTTCACAAGTCATGTGACTAGGAAACCAGGACTTATTCCTCTGGTTTGCAGGTTTCCAGATGCAATGGCACCTGCCTCACATGGATGCTGTGGTGCCTTGGTATCTGTATAGTGCACAATGCTGGCCCATGGCAGGACAAATAGGAGTGTCATCTGTGATTAGCTTGGTAAGTACTGTTTTTGCTTTTCCAGTGACATATTCCATTGGTCACATATTTCTACACAAATGCCTGATTTGTACTCTTCTGCTTCCTGTGTGTCAGGGCACACTGTGAGAAGACTAGGCTGCTCCTTGAGGGCAGGGCTGGCCCTGATGGCTCTGTTCACCCAGTGCCTCAGCTCCTAGAATACCCTAGGTAATGGTGGGGTCTCAGTAAATACCTGCTGATGAATGCTCTGGGGATAATTTATAATGACTAGTAAGTAAGTGATAGAGTTTTAACTTTTGTTATTATTGTCAGTTGAAGGTTTAATGGAATATTTTCACAATGGAAAAAGTCACCTCCTCCAGGAAATCCTCATGCTGAGTGCGTCCACACTGATACCTTCCTGCTTTCCTATAGAACACCCACTGCATTATGAATTTTGCCCTTGGTTATGGTCCTCCCTTTGTTCATAAGTATAATGTCATCTCCTGACTGGATTGTGAAGCATAGGGGTCAAGGTGAAGGTCAGAAATCCCATCATTATCTTTGCCACCTTCGTGTTCATCATATCTCTAATCACAAAAGGCCTGGAGGAAATTGGGGCCATTCACTCCCTGCACACGATGTGCTGGCCCTCATTTTGTGTGGTCAGTAGGATCTTACAAGGGAGGTAAGCTGAGAGGCAGCCAGTGGGACTCCACTTCCCAACTGACTGCTTTGTCCTTTTAATCTTTTCATGAGCTCTGCGGGATCCTAACCATCTAAACTTCTAGCAATAAGCTACTCTCCTCGGTCTACCTACTCGTTCCCAAGACACTGTCTCAGGAGGCAGGACAAACAAAAAGACCCCAAAACTAAATGGTCATGAATATGCTGTTGACCTTGATATCAAAAGAAGCCTTGCTGTGGAGCTGGGGCTGTAGCTCAGTGGTAGAGTGCTTGCCTCACACGCTTGAGGCCCTGTTTACGATCCTCTGCACCACATAGAAATAAATAAATGAAAATATTGTGTCTATCTACAACTAAGAAAAATATTTTAAAAAAAGAAAAGAAAAGAAAAAGCTGGATGTGGTGGTGCAAGCCTGTAATCCCAGCGGCTGGGGAGGCTGAAGCAGGAGGTTCATGAGTTCAAAGCTGGCCTCAGCAAACATGAGATGCTAAGCAACTCAGTGAGACCCAGTTTGTCTCTAAATAAAAATAGAAAGCAGGGCTGGGGATATGGCTTAGTGGTTGAGTGCCCCTGAGTTCCATCCCCAGTACCCCACCAAAAAAAAAAAACCACAAAGAAGTCTTGCTGCTGAGCACAGTGGTGGTACATGCCTCTAGTCCTAGTGACTCAGGCAGAAGGATTGAAAGTTCAAGGCCAGACCCAGCAATTTAGGACAGCCCTAAGCAACTTAGTGAGATACCCTGTCTCAAAACTAAAAATAAAAAAGGGTGGGGCTGGGGATGTGGCTCAATCCGTAGTATGCTAGCCTGGCATGCGTGCAGCCTGGGTTCGATCCTCAGCACCACATACAAACAAAGATGTTTTATCCACTGAAAACACTAAAAAATAAATATTTCTATCTCTCAAAACAAAAAAAATAATAATAAAAATAAAAAGGGGTGTAGCTCAGTACTAAAGCATCCCCGTGGGGCTGGGGTTGTGGCTCAGTGGAAGAGCGCTTGCCTAGCATGTGCGAGGCACTGGGTTCAATTCTCAGCACCACATATAAATAAATAAATAAAATAAAGATCCATGAACAACTAATAAAAATATTTTAAATAAATAAATAAAGCATCCCTGTGTTCAATCTCTAGTGCCAAAAATAAATTAATTAATAAAGCCTTCCTGGGCAGTATAGTCACCCTCTAGTTTCATATAGTGAATTTAAAAAGGTGTGTAGCAGCCACAGACACAGTAGATATACCCTATAATTTCCATAGTACTGGAAGAATGACTTAAAAAGAATCCTTCAAAGAAATTCTGATGTAAAAAGCTTTCCTACCTAATGTTTCTGGCTTTTTATGTTTGGATTTTTGGAGTCTGGGTTTTCTGCTATCAGAGAAACTCAAAGTAGGCATCCTGAGTCCCTACTGCACCCCCACTGCCACCACCTTGTCTCCCAGTCATGCCCTTGGTCAGCACCTAGAACAGTGCCCAACATGTTTATTGTCTGAGCATTCTCTTCAGTGAAGACTTCAAAACATTAACTAGGGGCTTGCTGATATTTTTAAGATCTAAGAACTACATTAACATGTGAATGGTGATCAGAATCTGAAGAAACACAATCCCAAACAGTTCCCATTTACCAAACACCCCTAACATACATACTGCTGTACATGTTGCCTCCCAACAGTCTCCAAAGCTAGGTGTTGTATCCCTATATCAGAGGGAGGTTGAACAGCAGTCCAAGATCTCAAAAAGTGAAAGGACAATATTAACTTCCAAAACATGCTAAGTAAAAGAAACCAAACACAAAAGCTTTCATATTATATGGGTCCGTTTATGTGAAATGTCCAAAACAGGTAAATCCATAGGCACAGAACAGACTGATAGTTAGCAGAGGCAGGAGATGTGGGAGAATAAAGAGTGACTGCTGAATGGACATGAGGTTTTCTTTGGGGTGATAGAAAGGTTTGGGAACTAGATGGTAGTATATTGTGATATACTAAATGCCAATTAAATGTACACTTTAAAATGAAATTTTATGTTCTGTGAATATCACCTCTATATATTTTTTTTAAAGTGCTGGGAAAGGGCTGGGGTTGTGGCTCAATGGTAGAGCACTTGCCTCACATGTGTGAGGCACTGTGTTCGATCCTCAGCACCACATAAAAATAAATAAATAAATAAAAATAAATTTTTTTTTTTTTTAAGTTTTCAAAAAGTGATGGGATGGGCTGGGGTTGTGGCTCAATGGTAGAGCACTCACCTAACACGTGTGAGGCCCTGGGTTCGATCCTCAGCACCACATAAAAATAAATAAATAAAATAAAGGTATTGTGTCTAACTACAACTAAAAAATAAATATTAAAAAAAAAGTGATGGTAAAGAAATTAAATGAAGCAGAGACATGGGATGCAAGCTCAGTGCTGTGACCCACAGCCAGGCCAAAGCTGGTGCTGTGGAGGAAAATGCACTCTCCAGGCCTGACTCCACCCCCATTAAACCCAAATGAGGCTGGGAGCTCCTTCTCGCCAGCGGCTGGCCTGAGGCCTACCTCAAAGAACCAGACAAGGAGTGTGGCAGCACCCATGGAGTTCATGAGGCCATCATAGTAGCTCAGCAGGGCAGCCCTGCAGCCATGTAGCCAAAGGTTGAGCTCCTCAGTCTGGTGATCATAGCTGTAGTGGGCTGAGTTGTTGGTAAGCTGGTACTGGATGCAGGGCCGTGGTGAGTTGGGGTTGCAGCAGCTGAAAGGGACACCATCCACCAGGTACCGCCCATCCACATTGCTCTTGATGCGACTGGAGGAGAAACAGAGAACTTGACTCAGGCTTCCCAGACTTTTCACCAGGTGCCAGTTCCTCTCATCCCCTGCCTCTAAAAACCTGGCTTGCTCCTTCCTTCCTTCCTTCCTTCCTTCCTTCCTTCCTTCCTCCCTCCCTCCCTCCCTTCATTCCTTCCTTCCTTCCCTTGCTCACCTGATAAATATTTGCTCTGTAGCCGCTATGTATTGGCTGCAGTCCTGGACACTTTAGAAAGAACAGTAAGCACATAGCCCATGCCCATGCCTTTTTAGAGCTTATGCTCTAGAAGGTGGAAATAGATAGTAAACCAAGACGTAAGTGTTGAGGAAATGTAGAAATTCACCTATTCACTCTGCTGTCAGGCCCCCACCTGCAATAATTCTTGGGACCCCTGCCAGGTTGCTAGAAAAGATAGGTAGTGATCATGGACAAGGTTCTTGCTGGCAACCATCAGAGTTTAATCCCTAAATCTCTCACCAACTTTATCTTTCTCTGAAAGGTCACTCCTAACCAAAGACCCTTCCAACGAGAAGGTTCCAGAAGGTCTGCTCTGGGCCTGTGCAGAGGCAAGGAGTTGAGACCTGAGGCAGGCACCCTTCACTGTCTGTGAATTCCATCTCTAGCCAGATGAGGGCTCCTTACTCATCTGAAAGATGTGGCTGCAACCTTGGCTCTCCAGGCCGACAGGCAGGGCTCCATACACTTTTACATTTCTCTATTCTATGTGCAGCTGTTTAAAGCATAACACATATTCACACAGGTTCCCAATTCAAAAGGAATCTTTATGGTGAAAGCACTCACCTGCACTCAAGCAGGCTGGGTTTGTTCTGCCCGACCTGAATGTGTAATGCATCCAGCTATACACAATACTTGCACACTCAACTGTGTACATTTTGTCTCAAGTGAAAAAGCTGCCTGTGAGCTATTCATTACTTAATAGCAATAGATTTTTGAAACACAAGAATAGAAAGCATGCTATTTTTTAAAACAGACATTATTTTTAACAATGTTCATTGAAAATGGTGATTGCACTCTTCAAAAAGATGTCCATGTTTAGCTTCTTTTTTAAAAAAAAATTTATTAGTTATTGATGGACCTCCATTTATTTATTTGTTTATATGTGGTACTGAGAATTGAACTCAGTGCCTCACATTTGCTAGGCAAGCACTCCACCACTGAGCCACAACCTCAGCCCCCCCTGTTTAGCTTCTAAATAAAATATCTTTAATACAAAACACTTCTCCCTCCCTGTCTCTCAGCCTCCAGGTCCCACCACTGTGGCCAGCTTTGTCTGTCCACCCAGAGAGGCTTCACGCATGGACAACCAACCAGAGACTCTGCAAATGGTATTTTTCCTGTTTGTTTGTTAACCTGAATGGTAACATTGTATACATAATGCCTTGAACATTTCCTTTTTCCCTTAGTAGTTTCTTAGAAGTCTTTTCACACCTGCCATTGGAAATTGTCCTGAATTTTTGTCCTGAAAATAACCCACAGGGTTTCTGTTCAATTCCCTACTGACAGCAGTTTGGGTTTCTCCCATTCTCCTGTTAATGCAAACACGGACATGGGTCACAGTACTTGTTGTGAATATATCTAACAATAAATTTCTAGATGAGACATTTCTGCATCAAAGAGTGATTCTGCCAGCTCTCTCCCATATTTCTCCCTTTAGGGGGCTAACAACCTTGCTTGTGAGAGCTGGCCTTCCATGGCTATACCCACACAGGTCTGGCTTTTGAACTTTGCCAACATAATAGAAGAAAAATATTACCTTCTCATTATGAGAGAAGTTGAACATCTTTTCATATGTTTATGACCCACTTGTTGTCCCTTTTCTGTGAACTGCCTTTGACTTCCATCTATGACAATTAAGACTTTAGGAAGGCTGCATGGTGGCCTGGGCCACGGTGATCATATTTCCACATGGCCTGCAGCCCTGACCTTTTCTTCATGTGTGGGCAAGACCCTCTGTCTGGAGAATGGGTGGCTCTAGGTGGCACGGTGATGTAAACAGGGATAAGAGCATCTGGGTTTGACTCTGGCTCTCAGTCCAGCTCTATTCTTCTGGATAAGTTCATTAACCTCTCCCTGCCTCAGTTTCTTAATCTAAAACGAGTTGATACAAGGTTGTTTGAAGTGCTTCAAGGGTGCCTGGTGTGGAGGAGGTGCACAATAAACATGAGCTCCTTTGCAAAGGCTGGCTCCACGGGTAGTGGCAGAGCAGGAGCCATCCCAGGCAGCACATGTGCCTGGGCAGCTTGCATCAGGTATGATCAGAACAGACCACACATCCCAGCGGTGCAGTCACTTATGAGCTGGTGGCATAAGTTCTACAGCTGTAGTTTCTGGTCTTTAAGGACAGCTGCCGTGTGGGATTCTCACTGAGGTCGGCCTAGTGCAGAGCTCCAGCCCAGTAGGATGCAGGTGCTGTGAGATACTTGCTGGCTGATGGAGGCCACCCTCTGCTTAAGTTCTCACTTGTTCCTGTCTCCCTGACAGCTCCATGTTTGTAGAGAGAGCAGACACCAGGACTTGCTTCACTTCCTACAGGAGTCCAAGAGCTGCGCACCTGGCCCAGGCAGGGGGTACCTTTGAGAATGTGACTGGAAGGGTGTTGGCAAGGCCTTCAGCTTGGGGCTCCCACCCATGTTTTAAGGAGCCAGAAGTTCTGGGAACACTGAACATCTAAAATGCTCCCTCCACCCCACCCCGAAGTCCAGCTTACCTTCCTCAGGGCTGGGAGTTTCCAACGCCAATCTGTTCACCCCTCTTCCTGACCTGCATGTCCCTGGAGCCCTCTCCCTAGCACAGAAAACCCTGTAGATATCCTCAGTTGTCTCCATGGACAGGCATAGGTGTGCCAGAGAGCAGACCTTTGAGTCCCAAAGGTAAGCTGTGGGGCTTGACTTCTGTGGACCATGTGAGGCCAGATGATCATCACCTCTCAGTGATGCAAGGAACACATTTGACCAGGCTTGGCATTCCCTAGGCCCTCAGGAAGTTCAGGCTTCTCTCCACTTAGAACCATCTGGACAGCTTGTTCTACAAAGGAGGAAGTGGGATTCAGAGAAGGGGAGAACCTCCCCCAGAGCCACTCAGTAAGTCATTTAGAGACCAGTCAATAGCAGGTGGCCGCTGGTTTCCACATTGCCTCAGTTTTCATGCCTCTCAGGGCCTTCCTGCCTATTGGCTTTTCTGGTTAAATTCTTAGGGAAAGCGCCAGGTGCAGTGGTGCACACCTGTAATACAGCAGCTCAGGAGGCTGAGGCAGGAGGATCAAGAGTTCAAAGCCAGCCTCAGCAATTTAGCAGCAATTTAGCAAGGCACTGAGCAACTCAGTGAGACCCTGACTCTAAATAAAATACAAAATAGGTCTGGGGATGTAGCTAAGTGCCAAGTGCCCCTGAGTTCAATCCCTGGCACCAAAAAAAAAAAAAAAAAAAAATTTCCTAGGAAAGCACAAGTTCCCTCTGCCTGCTCCCTGTCCTGGCAACCATTTCCTAACCACCATCACCTATCCTTATTTTGAGACATCATCTATCCTTATTTTGATCCTTATGTGCCCTCCTGGTGTCTCTAAACTGGGGTAAACCCTGCACACCTGCCTTATACATTTCACACATTTTACACATGTATGTGAAATGAGGGCCAGGCCTGCAGACCTAGGGTGAGGCCAGCAGAGGCTCTGAGCTGCCTTTAGTCTGCGTATTGGCCTTCTGGACAGCCTGGTCTCCCACCTTACCTCCCCAACCCCAGTGAACAAGTCGCCCTGCTGGTCTCAACAGGACAGGGCTGTGTCTCCTCCGACTGGGGTTCTCTGAGGATGAGGCTGTGCCGCCTCCTCCTGTGTCTTCCCTTGATACTTGCAATTCTTTATGTCTAGTGACTACTCAAAAAAACAATCTTAAAGGAAATACTAAGACCTTACTGTATTCCAAGTGCTCCATGTGTACACCTATATCTGCACCACATCTCCACACTTATATTCTCAGTTCTCAGATGGGACAAGAGGCTCAGAAAGGTCAAGCAAGTTGCCAAGGTTCCCCAGCTGCCACTCAGCTAGCCTAGGTTGGGGTTGACTCACTGTTAGTTATACTCCTATGACCTCTTTCCTTCCCATTCATTTCCATATGTCTTCCCTTATTGATTTGTTGGTGCATCTACTAAATTGTTTATTTCTCTGGAAAAAACTCTGATGTGATGATTTGTCCAGGCTCTTTGTGGCTTGTGTGTGGGGAGTAAGCTAATACACAGGCCTTATCTTAGTCAAGACTCTATAAACTCTGGTGACCCCCAAGCAGAGAAAAAAAATGTAGCCTGGGAAATACTTGCTGTTTATAAATAGCCAGCTCATCACCTAAGTAGCTCTTCTCTGCCTGGCTTTGTCTTAATCTGTGGTTGGAAGGAGGGCAGGCCTTAATCTGTGGTTGGAAGGAGGGCAGGCCCCGCATAAACAAGGCAATGCTTCTGAGCAGTGGGGGTATTCCAGAGATGTGAGCAGCTGGAGGCCCAGGGAAAACCTACCTCCATCAAGTTTGGCCCACCTTCCCTGTGCTCAACTGGGCTTCTCTCTGAAGGAGTCCCAGTCTGATGGAGAAGACACAGCCATAAAATGAAAGAAGTACTGATTGAAGTCAGGTGCGTGGCACACACCTGAGATCCTAGCTACTCTGGAGGCTGAAGCAAGAGGATCAGAAGTTCAAGGCCAGTCTCAGAAACTTAGCAAGACTGTCTCAAAATAAAAAATGCTAGATGTGTAGAGCAGTGGGAGAGTGCTTACCTAATATGTGTGAGGCCTGGATAACCCCAAGTACTGGAAAAACAAAAAAACGAAGGTTGAAGCTAGGTGTGGTGATGCACGCCTGTAATCCCAGCAGCTTGGGAGGCTGAGGCAGGAGGATCTCAAGTTCAAAGCCAGTTTCAGCAACTCAGCAAGGCCCTAAGCAACTCAGTGAGACCCCATCTCTAAATAAAATACAGAAAAGGAGTAGGGATGTGGCTCAGGGTTGAGTGCCCCTGGGTTCCATCCCTGATACCAAAAAAAAAAAAAAACCCACAGTTTGAGAACTACAGATCCTTCTGGCTCTGAGAACTCAGGCCCCAGCAGAGGCATTGTCTCTGGACTCCTCTGAGGGCCTCCACCAATTACATCTGAGACAATGCCTCCTTTTCCCGGCCCAGTCAGGCCCACCAGCCTGGGGAAGGAGGGAAACACAGAATGTTAAAGCATGATGACTACCCTATTTGCCATTCCCCAGAAGCCATGAGACCACCTTGTGATTATCTGAGACCTGGCACAGAGCACTAGAATCCAGTCAGAATCCATATTTTTTTTTTTTGGTTTTGGTTGGGTTTTGTTTGGTACTCGGGATTGAACATAGGGACACTTAATCACTGAGCAACATCCCCAGCCCTTTTTTGTATTTTATTTAGAGACGGGGTCTCAGTGAGTTGCTTATTGCCTTGCTGAGGCTGGCTTTGAACTCACGATCCTCTTGATGTCTCAGCTTCCTGAGCCTCACTAAATTGCTGAGGCAGGCTTTGAACTCGCAATCCTCCTGCCTCAGCCTCCCAAGCTGCTGGAATTACAGGTGTGTGCCACATAGATGTTTTTTAATCCTGTATTTTCTCTGCCCACCCACTCACTGTTTCTTTGGGGAGGGAAATAGAGAACAAGCCATAGAAAATCAGGAAGAAGGGCTGGGGTTGTGGCTCAGTGGTAGAGCACTCACGTAGCATACACGAGGCACTGGGTTTGATCCTCAGCACCACATAAATGTAAAATAAAGATATTGTGTCCATCTAAAAAAAAAACAACTAAAAAATATATATTTAAAAAAAAGAAAAAAGAAAATCAGGAAGAAGAGAGAAAGATGAAAACCCCCCCACCAAAGCAGCTTGAATAATTTGAAGTTTCTGCCAGTCAGTGAACAAACATTCATCCTCCAATCCCTTGGGAAAATTTTCAAAAACTACCCACCTCTCTGTGCTTTCTGAGGCCTCATGCTCCATCCTTGGTTCCTGGAGAGCCCAGGTACAGGAACCCAGCTTCCCTGTCAGGAGCTGGACCAGGAATGCTGGCACGTGCCCAACTCAGCCTTCCCTATCCTGGTCCGGCTAGGTGCACCTTGCACAGAGCTGCTCCAGTGACAGAGCTTGAAATGACCAGAAATCACACAGCCCACAGGCAGCACCAGCTCCTACGAGGCTGCATGTGCATATTATCCAGACTAGCAGCCCTCTGACCAGCCTGCCACTCCTGGTCAGAACGCTCCTGGACGTCCCTGAAGTCCTCAGGGACATGAGGCTCACTCCAGCCTTTTTGCTGGCATGTCCAGATTTGGTAAGAAAAGGAAAAAGGAGAAATCCTCCTAAAAAAATCTTAGTGGATGATAACTGCTTCCTCTCCCTGCCTCCCACGGGGCCCCACCTCTTTTTCATCAGAATCCTAGGATGAGCATACTACTGAGAAATTCCAGAGACAGATAAATGTTTACAGCTTTTCAGTGTTGAGATGTCAAAAGGTAAATAGAATTTTTATTTTTCTAGAGAGTATTTTTGGGAGCCAGCTTTGTTCCATAAACTTATTAATCTTCCTAAATGAAGGAATCAAAATATGAAGGTAAAAAAATTTAGTATCCCTTGCAGTGAAAGTAAGTGTCACTCTGCTTTCTCATTCCTTCCTTCCCTAGTTTTTCCCACCACAGGTAAGAGCTGTGCTCAGTACTGGATCCAGGATGTTGGCCCCAGGCAGTTACAACTCCATTAAGCCTCACTCCCCTCCTGGGCACTGCCTACTACGCCATTAATTTAAGAGTCTGTGCACCAGTGAGCATATCAGGGTATACTCTTAGAAGCACTATTAGTTCCTCTATAGTGTAACATCATTGGAAATTTTATAAAGGAGAAAGAGATGTAAGTTATACAATTGTGTCTTAAGACCAGCTTTGTAGAAAGAGAAAGCCAACAGGTACACTTCCTTCCTGGAAATTTAGCCAAAGGGAAATAAGAGAACAGAGACAGAAGCACAGGACTCAAAGATACTTAAAATAGACACAAATAAGAATAATCTAAATGCCTAAGGGTGCACATTCATGCAGTGAAACAGTATACAACCATTAAACAGGATCATTGTAAACATTATGCAAATGTTATGTAATCAGATAACAGAATGGAATACTCAATTGCATTTATACTATGATTACACTATGTTATTATGTCACTGCTAACAAGACTAGACTGAAATGTGAAAAAATCAAAGCCATCCATTAGTTGCTGGTGAGAATCTTGTTTGAATTTCCTTTCCTGTTTTTGTTCCTCTCAATATTATCATCATCATATTTTTGTGTATGGGTAATAGAGAGATTTTTGTCCAAGTCAATGGAGTCAGGATAATTTCACTCTAACAAGTTGGTATAGGGCGTTGAGGTAGTTTTGAGTAAGCTAAATATTTGCCTGAAATTTCAGATCCATTGGTCACTGAGAGCAACCTGGGTGACTTCTCCACTTGAACAAAAAGGGACTTGGGGCTACAGAGCCATTTTTATATGTCTCAGGAGACTGACCCTATTCGGAAAACAAATATCTGCTCATAAAAGCTGGTTCTGCCATTGGCCTCTCACACTCCCCAGGAATTCTGCTTCTCCCTCTGGCTTCACAACCTCCTAGGTGACTTATGCAAATCATGCCACCTTATGCTGTCCCTGTGGACCTGTCATCTAGGAAGGACAGAGCCGGTTACAATCCTCTCCTCTAGGGATTTGTAGCAGTAATCTCCACCCACAGAGAAAACAAAATCCCAAGCAGTGACCTTCACTCTGACTTTCCTTCCACCTGTGGGGAGCTAACTCAGCCCTCTGAAGCCAGTCGTGTTACTTGGACTTCAGTCATGTCCCACTGCTGGTGTGCCCCAGGCCTCATGTTCAAGTCCCCCAGACTTACTCAGATGGAAAACCACTTGAATAACCATTTATATAAATAGCATAATAGAGAGTTGGACAAAAGATATGAAGGGGAGCCAGGGGCTCAGGGAAGGCTGCCTTCCCTGGACAGTTACTCCAGACCCACCACAGTGAGTCTTCTGGGAAGAGCCATCCACTGGAGTCAGTACACAGGTTGTCTTTGCGAACACACATGCTGAGATTCTTTCTCACCATCACCTCCCCTCGGCCCCTGCAGGATTTCCTTTTTATATATGCCAAGAATACCTTAGAAATACTTGAGTGTATTGTGCTATCATGATTTCAGAAGTAAACACCAGCAGGCATTTCATGAGCATTTGCTGGATGCCAGGCTCTGCATAGAGCTGAGAGGTGAGCTCCAAGAGCACCTGCATTATTTGAAAGATGAGTAATCGAGGACCCACAGAAGCAAGTGACTTGCCCAAGGCCTCAAGCCAGAACTACAGCCTAGCTCTGACTGCTCCCATCCTCTGCTCCGTACCCATAAAGAAAATGGTATTGATTAGATTCCACCATGTCTAAGAACAATGCCTTGGGAGTGGATGCTCAGGGTTCAAAATTGGAAAGCTAGGGAATTTATCAGAAATTTTAAACTTCTGGGACTGAATCCACCTCCTTTGATTAAAGAAACAAGTACCAAATGTCTCAATGTATGTGAACCATGAATGACCCCATTCCTGCAATAGGAAGCGTACACACATACCTGACTATATCTCCCTCCTGGGGATTCTTATTCAAGCAGCTTATATAATTTGACACCATCCTTCCACCTCAGCCAAACATTAGGTTGAACTGCATGGAGTTGCCATTTTCACAGACCAAAGGGGCTAGGATAATGGCAATTTCATGTGATCCAACCTGATGCCCCTTCATAACATACTAATAAGTTATATACCCAATGTAGAGGAAAAGGGACTGGATGGGGTGGGGAGTCAGAGGCCTGGGCCTCAGTGTCCCCACATAGACCTGGCCCCAGGACTAGAGACTACTCACTCCTTGACTTCTTTAGAGGAAAGGTCCAGGTAGCGGTTGCTGATCCACTGAATCTCAAACCAGTCCCGAAAGCCACTGTTGCCGCAACATTTGAACTCGATCTGCAGCAAGTCCATGGTCTTCTTCATGAAACACCTGCCAGGGGTGTCTGTGTCCCGATAGTACTTCATGCCATTCCTGAGCCCTTGGTCCAGGGTGCTCTCCAATGAGCCCCGCAACAGAAAACAGCAGAGAGCCACAAGGAAGAGGGCAATGTTGAAGAGGACACAGACGGCCAGGTATGGCTTCAGCCAGGGCTTCCACTTGGCATACTTGGCAGGGTCCAGAGCATCATAGCAGATCTTGCCAGCCAGAGAGTTGAAGACACAGGACAACATCCCCACCGCTATCAAGGAGTTGGGCACAAAATGGCTCTCTGAATTATCCATCACATCACTTCTCTTCCGGAGTTCAATCTTCAGAAATAGCCCTAAGCTGAAGACGATGATGCCAGCCAACACGGAGAGCCAGTTCATGAGCCAGAGCCCTTGGGCCAACTTGACCCGCTTCTTCTGGTCAAATTTGACTTTCAGCAGTGCCATCCTTGCCAAATGCTGTCCAGATAGCCTCCTGCAGCACAGCTCCCACTCTTAACCTGAGTGAGCCCAGGGACTGACCACTCAGGGCCTTGAGAAGGGTGCAGATTGCCCAAGCTGAAGGGAGCTGCTCTGGGGGTTGCCCATGTTGGGCTCCCTATCCTGGGACCCCCGTTAACTCAGTAATGGTAGCGGGGGCAAGTCTGGGGCGTCGTTTCTGTAGCACCCTTCCCAGCCAAACAGTAGCCTGAACACTGCAGATTAAAAGTGGGAGTCACAAGACATCTTGCTAATCTCTTTAACCAGGTTCATCCCATTAGATAAAACCATGCCGGACTCAGAACATGGCCAAAAGAAGCCTTCATGTACATGCTGGACCAGAGAGCTCTGGGTTCAGTGTGGAGAGTCAGGAACAAAAAGGCTAAAGCCAGCCAGAAAAATGGGATGTACCTAGATGGCTGGCTGAGATTATGTCTCCCCAGAAATAAATTTTCAGCCAGTCCCCTTCCAACTTAAAACTTCCTGTGGGGCAAGACAAAGTCAAGTTCAGACAGAGATGACAGATTGTGACAAAACGTTTGTTTTTTTTAAATTTTTTTTTTTTTGGTCATTGATATTCTTTTTTTTTTTTTTTTTTTTTTATTTATTTTAATTCTCGGCGGACACAACATCTTTGTTTGTATGTGGTGCTGAGGATCGAACCCGGGCCGCACGCATGCCAGGCGAGCGCGCTACCGCTTGAGCCACACCCCCAGCCCTGTGACAAAACATTTGTAACATACAAAATGGAGTTATTAATATGCTAAAAATTGTTTAAATTCTACAAATTCACAATCAAAAGGTGAACAGTAGGGCTGGGGTGTGGCTCAGTGGTATAGTGCTTCCCCAGCATGCAGGAGGTCCCAATGCAGGGGGGAAATAATCAATCATCTGGGAAAATAGGCAAGAACAGGTCAGACAGACCAAATCATAACCAGAAAACTTGGAAAGTCCAACAATCTGGAAAAGATCCTCAACCTAAGTAATATGCAAGGAAATGCAAAGTAAAACAACAACAAAAGACCATACTTGATCTAACAGATTAAACTTCTGTTACTGGAGTATAAACAAAGATAGTGTAGCCAGGTGCTGTGGATCATGCCTGTAATCCCTGCAGCTCAGGAGGCTGAGGCAGGAGGATTGCGAATTCAAAGTCAGCCTCAGCAACTTAGCGAGGCTCTAAGCAATTCAGTGAGACCCTGTCTCTAAACAAAATATAAAAAGGGCTGGGGAAGCCAAGCACGGTGGCACATGCCTATAATCCCAGCGGCTAAGATCCTAAGGAGGATCGCAAGTTCAAAGCCAGCCTCAGCAACGGTGAGGTGCTAAGAAACTCACTGAGACTCTGTCTCTAAATAAAATACAAAATAGGGGCTAGGGATGAGGCTCAGTGATTAAGTGCCCCTGGGTTCAATCCCTGGTACCAAAAAAAAAAAACAGTAAATAGAAATATATACCCAGTGATTCTGTAATTTTGTTATTTTAATTATTAATAAAGTATTTATTAGAGTGATTTTTAGATTTACAAAAAAATGAACATAAAATATATACTACATATTCTAGTATATATACTATATACTCATTCTCCCCCAACCAGTTGCCCCTATAAGCAGCTGTGAGGTTTTTGTTTACAGTTCTATGGGTTTTGCCAAATGTATAATGTCACATATCCCCTACTATCATATCAAACAGAATCGTCTTGCTGCTCTAATAATCTCCTACACTCCACCTATCCATTCTTCCCTCCAACCCTTCCCAACCTCAGGCAACCATTGTCTCTAGAGTTGCCATTTCTAGAATGTTATATAGTTGGAATCCCATAGTATGTCGCCTTTTCAGATTGATTTCTTTCCCCTAGCAATATGTTTTTCTAGCTTAGTGTAGTTTATTTCTATTTAGCATAGAATACATTCCATTTATATGGGTATACCATTGTTTATCCATTCAACTATTAAAGACTACCTTGGTCACTTCCAATTTGGGGCAATTATAACTAAAACTGCTTATAAGCATTGATGAAGGTTTTTGTATAGATGTAAGTTCTCAACTCTTTTAGGTAAATAGGAGAGTAATGACTGAATCATATAGTAAAACTTTAATTTTATGAAAAAACTAGAGAGACTGTACAATTTTGTATTCCCACCAGCAATGAATGAATGTTCCTGTGGCTATACATCCTTGTCAGGATTTGGTATTGTCTATGTTTGGGATTTTAACCATAGTAATGAGTGTATATACTGGTATCTCATCACTATTTTATTTTGCATTTCCTTAATGATGTTTTATATTGAGTGTTTTTGTATATGCTTATTTGCCATCTATTTATCTTCTTTGGCTATTTTTTTCTTCTTTATTAGGCATGCTGACACACACCTGTAATCCTAGTCACTCAGGAGGCTGAGGCAGGAGGTTTAACTGCAAATTCAAGACCAGCCTGGGCAATTTAGTGAAACCCTGTCTCAACATAAAGGCTTTTAGGGGTTTTGTTTGTTTGTTTTTGATACCAGGGATTGAATCCAGGGGTGCTTAACCACTGAGCTGCTTAATCACTGAGCCACATCCCCAGCACTGTTTATTGTTTATTTTGAGACAGGGTCTTGCTAAATTGCAGAGGCTGGTCTTGAACTTGTGATCCTTCTGCCTCAGCCTCCCAAGCCACTGGGATTATAGGCATGCACCACTGCATCATCAAAATAAAGTTTTAAAAATGGGCCAGCGGGGCTGGGATGTGGCTCAAGCGGTAGCGCGCTCGCCTGGCATGCGTGCGGCCCGGGTTCGATCCTCAGCACTACATACAAACAAAGATGTTGTGTCCGCCAAATACTAAAAAATAAATATTAAAAAATTCTCTCTCTCTCTACCTCTATCTCTCTCACTCAAAAAAAAAAAATAAATAAATAAAAATGGGCCAGGGATGTACTCAGTGGTAAAGCCCTGCTGGGATCAATCTAATTTGACTTCTCAGAACAGCCTGCGCATAAGCACAAGGAATTTTAAGAACAAACCAATTCATGTGTGTTGTGGTGCTGGGAGAAAAACACAGGGCCCTATGACTACTAGGCAAGCTCTCTTCCACTGAGTTATATCCTTAACCCTACAAACAAATTTTGTTCTCAAATTCCTTTCCACTTAAAACCAAAGAAGGCTTCATGATTAAAATAAGAGCCCATGAGCTCAAAGCAATGGGTGGATCAAATTCCCATCCGAAGTCTCCTTTATTCCCTTCTGAGGGAGACTCCACAGATTCCCACCTGCACATTCTTTCAGACCTCCAAATCACTAGGTAAAACCAACAGTATATTTCTCCACAGATAGAGGAGGTGTGAGAACAAAGCAATGAGGCATAAGTTTTTTCCCTCCAACATAGTCCTCAGGAAAACAAAGCACTTATTTCATCATTCAACACAAGTTTGGACTTCAGTTGGCATCTTCAAAGCCTGGTTCTGAGCCATATAGAAAAAACAGCATGGTAATATTATTGTCACACCACATTGTGGGTCAAAAACCCACAGGCCTGGGCTGGGGTTGTAGCTCAGTGGTAGAGCCCTTGCCTTGCATGTATGAGGCACTGGGTTTGATCCTTAGCACCACATTAAAAATAAATACATAAATAAGTTATTGTGTCCATCTACAACTAAAACAAAAAACAAACAAACAAACAAATAAACAAAAACTCATAGTCCTGCACCTAGCAACTCAGGAAGCTAAGGCAAGAAGATTATAAGTTTGAGGACAACCTGAGCAACTTAAAGACTCTGCCTCAAAATAAAAAGGGCTAGGGATGTGGCTCAGTGGCAGAGCACTCCTGAGATTAATCCCCTCTACCAACAAAAAAGAAAAAAAAAATTTCCAGGGTAATTGCTCTTTTAACAGCCAAGCCTTGTTTCTAATAGCTTTGGAGAAAATGGGACATTCTCAAGGGAGACAGGGGTCCTCTCAAAGAAAAATAGCACACCCCTCCTGTCCTCCAATTCTATTGGGGGTTCCTGGGAAGTGTCCAGGGTCCCACTCAGGGTCATCTTTTGACTTTTGACTGACAGTAAAGGAACAGCAGTAGAGTGACTCCAAGAAAAAAATGGCTTCTCTTGAAGATGGCTGCGCTACACCCCCAGCCCTTTTAATTTTATTTATTTTGAGACAGGCTCTCACTAAATTGCTTAGGGCTTTGCTGAGTTGCTGAGACTGGCCTTGAACTTGGCAATCCTCTTGCCTTAACCCCGCCCCCCTCCCCCCCCAGTCACTGGAATTACAGGTGTGCTCCACCATGTTCCACTCTTCGTTTTTTTTTTTTGTTTGTTTGTTTGTTTGTTTTTAATTTTTAAACAGAGTCTTACTAAGTTACTTAGGACCTTACTAAGTTGCTGAGACTAGACTTGAACTTGATCCTCCCATTTTAATTCTTGACCATCTGATTAATTCACTAAAAAGAGTGAGCTGAGGTTTCTGGAGTCACTGTGTTGTGCCATGATTCTTCCAGTGGTGGATGTTCAAACAACAAGAGGCATGAGTAAACTCCTAGCTCCTATGCAAAAAAAAGAAAAAAAAATTGAAGACAGTTATCCTGAGAGAAACAGTGTGTGAAAGACTGCTTTGCTAAGCTTAGAGAACCTCTTAGGAACATGTATGTGGGCGAGAGAAAATCAGAGGGAAGGATAAGAAGAAAGATTTGATGTAGAGACCAGAAACAAAATAACAACAAAAAAAAATTAAATAGCTTTTTAGAAAGTTTACCCAATAAATCAAGCAACTCTCTTCTTTTATCTGGAAGTGGTAAACCATGAAGGACAACACCAAGCAAAAATAATCAACTCTGTGGATGCCCCCTGGTGGCCAGAATAAGAATGGCCTCAGTGAATGGAAAAGCGGGTTTGGTTGGGGAGATAATATAGCTTACATTTCACTCAAAAGGTAACCATTCTAAATACCTTTGCTTTTGCTTTTTCATATAAAAATCATTAGTGTTTCCC